CAGGAACCTGGGCCCTGCAGTGTGGCCAGGCCCTTCCCAGGGTCTGGCATGGGATGCTAAACTACTGTGCCATCAGGCTGAAGCCTACAGGCTGACTAGTTATTTGTTTGCCATGGCTTATAGATCTGCATGTGGGCATCACCAAGAGGCTAAAGACAGTGGAGGTGCTGGAGGGAGAGAGCTGCAGTTTTGAGTGTGTCCTGTCCCACGAGAATACCAGTGACCCAGCCGTGTGGACGGTTGGTGGAAAGACAGTGGGTAACTCTGGCCACTTCCAGGCCACACGCCAGGGCCGCAAATACACTCTGACAGTCCGAGATGCTGCGTTCAGTGATGCAGGAGAGGTGATCTTCTCTGTGCAGGGCCTCACCTCCAAGGCTTCACTCATCATCAGAGGTAGGTGTTGTAGGTGGGGCCAGAGGCCTCTCAGTGTGGGCTGGGCTGCTGCTGAACTGGAGTGCTTCCAGGGCCTCTCTCCCCAGCCAGCGGTGGAAATCCAGAAACACCTGTTGGGGTCCTGGAGGAGGTTTGGGTCATCAAGGGATGTTATATTCTTGGCTGAGCATCTTCGAATCTCCAGAACAAGCCTTAGAATTCTGGTGTTTGATCTGTGGTCTGTGTGTAGTTGGTAGTGATGCTGTCTAGGGGTACATAATGGGCTAGTTTTATCTGCCAATTAAATAATTAAAAGAGGAAAGAAGTGTTACTGGAAATTTTGGGGAGTCTCAGCAGAGCCATCATAGAAGTGGGGAATTGGGATCCTCTCTTAGGTTTCTTAGTCTCATTAATAAAAGAATTCAAGAATGGACTCAAATGGAAGCTCCAGGACAATTTATCAGAGTTTGAAAGGACAGGCAGGCAGGCTAAATCTCACAGCTGCCTGGAGGAGGAGAGAGAAGGAACAAAGCCATCCAGACGGGAAGATAAGGTGGCATGGAGGTCAGACACCAGGTGGTAGGCAGCCGCATGGCGGGAGGGAAGCTCTAGAAAAGAGTAGGAAGCCCAGCGCATTAGTTAGGGAGTTTAAATGTGCACAGGCTCTGGCCAGCACCCAAAAGTAAAAGAAGAAAAGGAAATCATTACACTTGAGTCAGGTCTCAGAAAGTCTGGAAGACTCAACCCAGCTTCTCAGTGGCTCAGTGCACAGGGACTGCATTAAGAGGAGTGTGGGAATTCTGGGAAGAAAAAGCACATTTGTCTTAAGGTGGCTTTGCCTTCCTAGGGGTGGTGCCATAGCCAGGTCCTTGACCTGCCCCACTGGATTAACCCTTAAGGTAATCCATCATTTATTACTATAAATTCCAATTGCAGTTGGCTCTCTTGGCCAGTATGACATTTGAGCAGAGGCCATAGAGTTGAATCTGATGTTGAAGTTGAATCTGATGTCATGGACCTTGTGCTTCAGACTTACACTCTTGGCACTCATGGATGGGTCTGCTGTACAGGGACCAGCCTGGCTATGGCCGCACCCTGTGTGACCCCTTAATGAGATGTCCTCACAGCCCCTCCTCCCAGGTCTCACCCTGTGCAGTAAGGGCTTCCAACATTTCAGGGTCTCAAACCCCCAGAGGTCCAAGGTCTCAGGGGTCAAGGGTTAGAGGTTCTGTGATTTTGGTCTCCAGAGATTGCATGTTCCCAAATGTCTTTGCCCTCATCCTGGCCATGGCTGAGGCCGTTCCTCAGGGGTAGTGGTTGTGTGGCAGAGGCCATGGCTGGTGCTGTGTCCCAGACTGTGCCTCATGGGAACCATCTCTGCTCCTTTCAGAGAGGCCGGTGGACATCACAAAACCCCTGGAGGACCAGAGGGCCACACGAGGGGAGGACGTGACACTGAGTTGTGAGTTGTCGAAGATGGGCACCACTGTGCACTGGCTGAAGGATGGAAAGGCTATCCGCAAAAGTCAGAAGTACGATGTGCTCAACGAAGGTACACGGGCTGTGCTGGTTGTCCGCAAGGCCTCGCTCAAGGATTCTGGAGAGTACACCTGTGAGACAGAAGCTTCCAAGAGCACTGCCAAGCTCCAAGTGGAAGGTTAGCACCCCGCACACCAGCCTCCCAGTCTCTCCCAGCAGCGTGGCCTGGGACCACCTTCTGAGAGCCTCGGTGAAGAGGTTCCCTCTGGTTAGCCTGCATGGTCAGGTTGGGAGGAGAGCAGAGCTGGCTTAGGTGAGTTGGAGCTTCACCCCCTACCTGCTCTGTTCCTTATCCAGAAAAGGGAAACCGGTTCACAGAAGAGCTGACTGACCTGCAGGCAGAAGAGAAGGGCACAGCTGTGTTCACATGCAAGACAGAGCACCCAGCATCTGCCGTGACCTGGCGCAAGGGCCTCCTGGAGTTGCGGGCCTCGAGAAAGCATGCCCCAGGCCAGGAGGGCTTGACCCTGAAGCTCACCATCAATGCCCTGGAGAGGACAGACAGTGACACCTACACCTGTGACATTGGCCAGGCTCAGACTCAGGCCCGGCTCCTGGTGCACGGTGAGGCCGCTTTCACTTGCACACTGCAAGGCTCCTTAGTGAGTGGAGATGTCAACTCTATCTGAAATAAATGCTGGGTCTCAGAGTGATCAGGGGGTTTACTGATCAGGGCTCTGCTTGTCCTGGATCAGTCCAGCCTCAGTTTCTCTGTCTAAGCATACAGCAGGTCACCTGGGCATCTCAGACTTTCCTAGTGTGACCTGTGAAGGAGCCAGTGGCCTGCCTTCTGCATGCAGGGTGCTTGCTGCATGTTCCCATGTCCAGGCATGCTGTATATGCTGTATGCTCTGCTGTGTCTGCATACATGATGTATGCTAGGGAGATGGCTTGGTGGTTAAAGCACTTGCCATGCAAGCATGTGTGTTGGCATTCAGAGTCCCCATAATTCATGTAAATGTGGGTGGGCATGGCAGAGACACTAGATTCCTGGAGCAATCTAACTACCAAGACTAGCCATATCATGAGCTCCGAGTTTGATTGAGAGACCCTGACTCATGAATGAAGTGGAAGACCTATTGAGGCTGATTCCTGACTGTAATCTTGGCCTCCACATATGTACCCACACATATGCAAAAATGCATACACATACATGCACACACCACTCAAAAGGAAGAAACTGTGACACTGAACACACAGACCTTTTCCTTGTCACTGCCCGCTCAAGTCCACTGTATGGGCTGTTGTTGAACGCTGCTCACTGGTGGCTTCAAGTGTACTACACATACATGCACACACCACTCAAAAGGAAGAAACTGTGACACTGAACACACGTCACTGCCCGCTCAAGTCCACTGTATGGGCTGTTGCTGAACGCTGCTCACTGGTGGCTTCAAGTGTACTGGCAGGTGTGTGCAGAGTGCAGATACGTTACCATTTTATAAAAGGGACTAAGTGTCCTCGGAGTTTGGTATCTGTGGGGTCCCAGAACAACTTTTCCTGAAGATTATGGGAGGTGGAGGAAGGGAAGAAGAAGTTTAAAGTCATAGCAAGTTCAAGACCAGCCTGGGATACATGAGACTCTGGCTCAGAAAAAATCATTTACGTGTAGACCATGCGAATGCCCACTAGCCTGTGGGTAGACTAGAGCTGTCCTTTGTGAGATGCCCCAATGATTAGAGCCCTCCTCTCTGTGTCATCCAGTTCTGGGATCTTTTGAGTGGTGTTTGTGGGTATAGTTGTATATCTGCAGGATCCATATTTATCCATCATTTAATTCAACAATAACAAATTGTTTCTAGGAATTCACATTTTCTATCCTACTATTAATTTAAATTTTAATGTAGCTATAACTCTTTGTATTTATTTTAAATTTAAATTTATTTCAAGTAATGTGTAATATCAGTACCTATCTGTGAGGTATAGTGTGATAACTGGATACATGTCTGCAATGTGTAGTGACCAGGTCAGGGCAAAGGGCATTTCCATCCTCTTAAGCAGTCATAGTTTCTGTGTGTTGGGAGACTTCAAGGTCTTCCTTCAGGTCTTTGAAATGTGAGATAAACCAGGCACAGGAAGGCAGATGCCCCAAGTTCTCACTCATTTAGGAACATTGAAAGACTCGATCTCATAGGACCAGAGAGGAGAATGGAGGGCACCAGATAGGCTGGGAGCAGGGAGGGTGAGGGAGGTAGTTGAGTCTCTGATGCACAGTAGGGTAACTGTCATTTTTTGCCGAAGCACATTTCATCTGTCAATATGAAATTGAATTCTATCTCTTGATCGTCACGTGAGTACTACTGGTGTTTTGGGAGCAGATGTCCTGTTGGCAAGCCCAGCTCAGCACAAGGGGCAGGAGAGAATGCATGAGCTTCAGCAGCCTGTGGACTCCCTCTCTTCGCAGAAAGACTTCAGAATGGGGACATGAGTTTGGGGCTGAGAGGCTGACTTAGAGCAAATATATTAGGATCACCTGGTTCTGATTTGCTTCCTGCATACCGAGCTTCATTGACAGGGGCTGAAGTTGAATACTGTTTTACAGCTCCACCCAGGGTCTTAGGAGAGTCAACCGGCCAAGTCTGGCCCAAGGCATCAGGAGCCCTGACTTTCCTGCTTGCATTGCAGGTCAGAAGGTACGCATCACTGAGGACCTGGAAGACAGCGATGTCCAGGAGGGTTCCTCTGCTAAGTTCTGCTGCCGCATCTCCCCTGCTGACTATGGGCCTGTGCACTGGTTCCTGGATAAGACCCCCCTGCACACCAACGAGCTCAATGAGATTGCTGTCCAGCCAGGAGGCTACCATGTGCTCACCCTGCGGAAGCTGGCACTCAAAGACTCGGGCACTGTCTACTTTGAGGCGGGTGACCAGCGGACCTCAGCTGCCCTTCGGGTCACTGGTGGGTTCTGTGCCTAAGGCCAGGGATATCCATGCTAGGGACACTATATGGCTTAGAGGGACCTTGAAGAGGGGCAGGCATGTGAAGGTCTGGTCACATGCACAGTGAAGTCCTGAGGCTCATAGTGTCAAGATTAGCTGCTGATGGCATGTGAGTCTCCAGTCCTGGCGAGGTGGTTTGGGAGGAAGGGTTGGGCTGTTTCATGATAAATTCCTGACTTCAGAATTTGTGGGTGATATGGCTTGTGTGCTGTGTTCTACCAGGGTAGGGACCACGCAGAGACTCCCCTGTGCCCCCAGCATTCCTGTCTGGATACAGCCTCAGGGCAACAGGCAGACACTGACTAAGGAGTTGCCTTGTCCACAGTATTAGTCTTCTCACAGAGGTACCACAGCACTTTTGGCTTCTCTCTGTCCTCCAGAGAAACCGAGCATCTTCTCCCGGCCACTCATGGATGTCGCAGTCACAGAAGGTGAGGACCTGACCCTCATCTGTGAGACCACTCTGGATAGTCCTGTGCGCTGGACCAAGGATGGGAAGACACTGCGGCCATCGACACGGTGCCAGCTCAACTACCAGGGGTGCCGGGCTCAGCTGGTCATCACTGGCACCACCCTACAAGACGGTGGGCGATACAAGTGTGAAGCCAGCGGAGCCACCAGCAGCTCCATTGTCAGGGTCCACGGTGAGTGCTGGGTGGCTGTATTCAGGCAGGCATGGCTCAGGGTGGGCACACACCCACAAGGAACAGAGGGCAGGAGGACCCCAGAGTAGCGTCTAGCGCTTCCTTCTGCCTCTGCCCATTGTGAGGGGCATTCACATGCCCCTCTTGGCTTCCTGCTGTCTCAGGTCTCTGCTGCCCCTGTATTCTCCAACCCTCTCTTGGTCTCTTGACCTTCTTGTGACCCATTCCTGTGTTGGCCTTACTTGCTGACCCCTTTGGAATCCCTCTTCCTGCCTCTGGTTGCCTCTATGGGACTGCCCTAAGCTTGTAGCACAGATGGAACTTATACAACAGGAATCTGCTGTGGAAAACAGAAGTGGGAGATCAAAGCGTTGACCTTGACTGGCCTCCAGAGGCCTCCAGAAGCAGACTTCTGCTTCCTTGGCATACAGAAGCAGTCTTCTCCTTTGTCTTCAGATGCACATCCCTCTCTGTGCCCCGATCTCTTATGAGAACACCAATCTGATGGAACATGGGCTCAGTCTAACCATTTTATTTTACTTTATCTCTTTAAAGTCCAAATAGTCACATGTGAGGTCCCGAGTTAGAATGTCAGTATATGAATTTTGAGAAGCACAGTTCAGTCTGTAACACTTGGCCCTTCTCCGTTCACCGGGTCCTTGACTCACCTTTCCATTCACACGCCATCAGACCCATTTTTCTCAGAGTTCTCTGGGCCCCTGCCACTGGCCTCTAGTATTTGAGTTGCTGCTTCCCCAGCTGGATCCTGTCAGGGAGGTTGAGCTGAGCCTACCTATCCATAGCTCGGCCAGTGCAGTTCCGGGAGGCCCTGAAGGATGTGGAGGTGCCAGAGGGCGGGGCTGCCACCCTGCGCTGTGCACTGTCATCAGTGGCTGCACCTGTGGAGTGGCGCCGTGGGGACGACATCCTGAAGTCCAGCAGCAAGTACAGCCTGCGCCAGGAGGGAGTCATGCTGGAGTTGGTTGTCCGAGACCTGCAGCCCCAGGATAGTGGGTGTTACTCCTGCTCCTTTGGGGACCAGACAACCTCAGCCACACTAACTGTGAAAGGCAAGTGTGCCCATCTACACTGTGCTCAGGGGCCCAAGAGGGCCCTCCCCCCAGAATAGAGGAATAACAGTGTCCTCTGTGTCTGCCCCTGCTGCAGCCCTGTCTGCCCAGTTCATAGGAAAATTGAGAAACAAGGAGGCCACAGAAGGGACCACGGCCACGCTGCGGTGTGAGCTGACCAAAGAGGCCCCCGTGGAATGGAGGAAGGGAACAGAGACTCTGAGAAATAGGGGCAGATACAGCCTGAAGCAGGACGGGGCTGTGTGTGAACTACAGATCCGTGACTTGGCCGAGGCAGATGCTGGGGAGTACTTATGTGTGTGTGGGCAGGAGAGGACCTCCGCCATGCTGACCATCAAAGGTAAAGACCACAGGTGGCCAGGTAGACCCATGTTCTACCCATATGCTGACCTGATCCCATCTGTCCAGCTCCTTCAGCCCTTGCTCACCCTGCTGTGGATCTCACCTAACTTCCTGAACTGTTAGAACCAGGAAACACCAGTATCTGCAGCCAACTTCCCACCCTTAGGCCCTAGCGGGTTCTCTCCTGTGCCCCGCTGTCTTCTGTCTTGTCCTTCATCCTGTCCTGTGCTGTGTTGTATCCCACAACACAGTGGCACATCTGATGTTCCAATCTCTGAACCTCCCAGCTCTGCCTGCCCACTTCATTGGAAGGCTCAGAAGCAGGGAGGCCACAGAAGGGGACATGGCCACGCTGCACTGTGAGCTGAGCAAGGCTGCCACTGTGGAGTGGAGAAAGGGAACAGAGACCCTGAGAGATGGGGACAGATACAGCCTCAAGCAGGACGGGGCTGTGTGTGAGCTGCAGATCTGTGGCCTGACTGTGGGGGATGCTGGCGAGTATTCGTGCCTGTGTGGGCAGGAAAGGACCACAGCCACGTTGACCATCAGGGGTAAAGATTGTGTGCCCTGTGTACATGTGCCCCTGTACACGGGCAGCTCTGTGTCTGAGCACTGCCCCCCCCATCTGTGCTTGGCGTTTCCTGCTTGTCTGGTCTGCGTTCTGTTGCAGGTACTTCACGTTTGTTGCAGGGGACCCATTTTAGATCCAGAAAACACTGGAGACTAGGTGCCCAGCCCTAGGAGTGTTCTGGTTTGGGATGAACAGGTGGCAGGAGAGCAAACAATGAAGATTCGATGACAGGTCCCAGGGCACACCAGGAGAGGGGGTAGGCTGGCCATGGGGGAATGATGCAGCAGGGATATGCAGGAAGAAGGGAAGGAAAGCAGCCTGGGTATGTGCTTCTGTGTGAAGGTGAGGGCCTGTGCTGTAGGTGTCAGGAGGAGGTGAGGACCCACGCTGTGGGTGGATGGGGGGAGAGAAGGCCCATCCGTGGGTGTGAGATGGAGGTGAGGGCTCAACTCGTGTGTATCAAGCCAAGGTGAGGCCTGCCCAAGGAGTCATATGAAAGTGAGGGCCAGTCCTGTGGGTGTCAGGCATAGGCGAGGACTCATCCCTTGGGAGTCAAGTGGTGGTGGAGGCCCATCCTGTGGGAGTTAAAGTAGAGGTGGAGGCCCACCCCAGAGGTATCAGGTAGAGATGGGCACCTGCCCCATGGGAGTCAGGTGATAAGGGCCTGTTCCATGGTAGTGTGGGGAGGTAAAGGCAGGTCTGTGAGGCTGAGGGTGGAGCCCCCTGACCTGTCTCTGGCAGCCTTTGCTGTGTGTCCTGTCTTGTACATGTAGTGTCCGCGGCCCACTTTTGTCCACAAGTTACAGAGTTCAGTGGTCTTTGTGTGTCCCTCCCGGTCATGACCATCACTTACAGATGGTCGGAGGCCTGGGGAGGCCATTGTGGAGGCCACAATGCAGTGTGAGCAGAGCACGGTGGCCTCCCCGAAGTGAAGCAAGAGGCCCGGGACCTCAGACAGGGATCTTACAGGCTGAGGCAGGATGTGTGGAGCTCTGTAACCTGGCCGTGATGGATCCTGGGTGTCCTCACACATACAGTAACGGCAGCAGAGCTCACCAGAGTGGGCTTCTGGACTCTGCTCCTGAATCCACCAGGTTCCAGTCATGGTTGTATCCAGGGAGCTGACACTACTGCTCTGGTGTGGCCAGTGACCTGATGATGAGTCAACTCTCTGCCAGGTCCTTGGAGGGTCTGAGTACCTTCCTGCAGGGAAGCAGATGGAATGCACAGACATTGATGGAGGGCCCAGGGCATCTTGGGGAGAGTGGGAATATAATGAAATTCCGGCAGGTACAAGAAGCCCTTGGTCTGGTGGACTATGCTCTTACCTTAAGGACAGACTCCTCGGGGCTCTGAAGAGGAAGGTGTGGGGAAACCTGATTATCTGTTTGCCCAGGCTGTGGCAGGAGGCTCCTACCATCTGAACAAGCATTGGAGACACTTACAAGGGGCCCAGCTGCCATGTGGATGGATCACAGTGCCAAAGTACAGAGGCCTGGTACCACCGTGCCCTCAGGAGATGACAGAAGGATATGTCTCTGAGGCCTGACCTATGCTGACAGAGTTAGAAAGAGATCCCAAGAAAACCTGCTCCCTCCCACTAACTCTAGGATGTGCTATTGATGGCTGAGGTGTGGAGCTGATCCTAGTGGACCAGCTGCTTTCAGAATTACACTTGTCCTAACAAGGGCTAAGCACAATGGGCACCTCACCTGGCCCCTTCTAGAAAGTGCTACATTTTCAAAAACTACCCCTGGACCACAAAGCTCCAAGGATGTTCTGAGCCACTGTCTTTAAAGGCCTCTGGGCAGATAGAACTGGGCATTCAAGAACCCTCAGCATTGGACTGTTAGCCAGAGGAAGTCTCCAGCCTCCGTTTTCAAGAACCAAGCTGTCGTCTTCTTTGTGGCCGTTTCCTACGTGCTGTCCATGGATGGGTGGATTGTTTCTCTGTTTGTTCAGTTGAAAGCCTTTCACCTACTCTGCTTGTGCATCCTGGAGTTTGCCAGCACAGTGAAGATGCGGCCAGAGGCCTGTGACCACCTGCTTCAAGCGGACAGTCCCAGGATGACTCGTGTGGCTGCTTCTCACCCAGCGAATCTGTGACTCAGGAACCCCAGAAGGGTTCGTGACCATGGCATGCTGTAACCTGAGCAGCCAAGTCAAGCTCTTGAGCCTGGAATTTCAGAGAAAAATAGGGCAGGCACAGAAGACCTGGGGCCAGGGATGTCTGTGGTCACTGCATCTGCTATCCATGTCACAGGTCCTGGGTGGGCTCTCTCTCTGGATTTCTTGCCCCAAGGTTCTCTGTGTCTCAGGCTACAGCTGGCCAGACTCTCCTCTGCTCCCTCTGTGTTGTTTCCTACCCGTGTCCACACGTTTATTCTTTACTCTCTCCAAAACGTGTTTCACTGTCGAGTATCATGTCCTGTCCCCGGAACGCTTCAAGATCCTGGTGTTTGTTCTCTGTGTTGCCCTCAGCCCTGCAAGCCAAATTCATGAAGTCTGAGGCCTGTGGAAACCTTAGAATGGACTATGGCCATGGGGTACAATCTAGACCAAGGGAAGCCCACCCCCACTGGCACTAAGCATGCCCAGCCTGTGGTCTTTGTGCAGTTGGCCTTCATGTCTTCTCTGTACTGTCCACGTCTAGGGCCCTCCATGTTCTGAAAGAGTGTGATTGTGTCCATGTCTTTCTGACCTCTCTAGCCCTACCAGCTAGATTCACTGAAGGTCTAAAGAATGAAGAATCCACAGAAGGGGCCGTGGCCACACTACGGTGTGAGCTGAGCAAGATGGCCCCAGTAACGTGGAAGAAGGGAGCAAAGACCCTGAGAGATGGAGACAGATACAGCCTAGCACAGGACGGGGCCGTGTGTGAGCTGCAGATCCGTGGCCTGGCCATGGCAGATGCTGGAGAGTACTCATGCATGTGTGGACAGGAGAGGACCTCAGCCACACTGACTGTGAGGGGTAAAGATTGGTGATTTGCTGTCCTTAGTTCCTATCACCTTGTTCCTTCGGCTCCATATGCAGCACAGCTCCTGTGGCCACCTGTCCTCTCCCCGGTGTCCTCTGGGTGTCTCTTATCTACCTGTGCAGTCACCCTCCTGCCTATGTCCATTCTGTTGCCTTCTGTGTCCTTCCTCAGCTGCCCGCTTCCCTCACCATCTGAATATACATTCAGTCATTCATGCTGTGGTCCCTCAGTAATGTATGGAGCTCTTTATGAGTTACCTGTCTATTCAGAGACCTTTGTAAAGCTCTGTGTTCTCAGTGACTGTTCGGTCCTTCCTAGCCCTGCCTGCCACATTTATTGAAGACTTGAGAAGCCAAGAGGCCACAGAAGGGGCCACGGCAATATTACAGTGTGAGCTGAGCAAGCCAGCCCCCGTGGAGTGGAGGAGGGGGTCTGAGACCCTGAGAGATGGGGACAGATACAGCCTGAGGCACGATGGGGCTGTGTGTGAGCTGCAGATCCGTGGCCTGGCTGTGGAAGATACTGGAGAGTACTCGTGTGTGTGTGGGCAGGAGAGGACCTCAGCCACGCTGAACGTCAGGGGTAAAGACCATGCGTGGCCACGTGGACCTGAGTCGTGGTGTCTCTGTTGTCTCATCGCTACTTCCGTCTCCACATGTGGCCTAGCTCCTGTGGTGACCATGTGGCCATCTGTCCTGTAACTCAGTTCATCTGGATGTCTCCATCACCCTTCCTCCTGTCCAGCAGATGTTCTCATGGTCACGTCCATGTGTCTTCCCTCCCTTCACCTCCCCGGATGCTGCTTCTTCCTGTCTGTTCCCCGAGTACTGTTCATTCATGGTCCTCTGGCAGCGTGTGTGTCTCCTGTGTGTTCCTTGGTCTGTGCATAGTGTCCTTCAGAGAGTCCCCTGTCCTCAGTGACTGTTTGGCCCTTCCCAGCCCTGCCCGCCAGATTCATAGAAGACTTGAGAAGCCAAGAGGCCACAGAAGGGGCCACAGCCACGTTGCAGTGTACGAGAGAGTCCCCTGTCCTCAGTGACTGTTTGGCCCTTCCCAGCCCTGCCCGCCAGATTCATAGAAGATTTGAGAAGCCAAGAGGCCACAGAAGGGGCCACAGCCACGTTGCAGTGTACACTCAGCAAGGTGGCCCCCGTGGAGTGGAGGAAGGGAACAAGGATCCTCAGAGATGGGGACAGATACAACCTGAGGCAGGACGGGGCCATGTGTGAGCTGCAGATCCATGGCCTGGCTGTGGAAGATACTGGAGAGTACTCGTGTGTGTGTGGGCAGGAGAGGACCTCAGCCACACTGAGCGTCAGGGGTAAAGACCTTGTGTGGCCACATGGACCCGAGTCTTGGTGTTTCTGTTGTGTCCCAGCTCTACTCCTGGCTCCACATGTGACCCAAATCCTGTAGTGGCCCTGTGGCCATGTGTCCTGTAACTGGGGTCATCTGGTCACCTGTACCTCCTCGTCGTCCTGTCCAGCAGACGTTCTGTGTTCAGGCCATCTCAGTGTCCTCTCTGTCCCCATGGAGTTGGCTTCCCTCACCATCTGTTCGTAGCGTGGTCCTCCAACAGCATTTGTGGTTCTTTGTGGGTTGTGTGTCCTTTGTACGGTGTTTTCCAGTCCCACGTTTGAGTGACTACTTGGTCCTTCCAGCCCTGCCTGCCAGATTCATGGAAGACTTGAGAAGCCAAGAGGCCACGGAAGACACCACAGCCACACTGAGGTGTGAGCTGAGCAAGGCGGCCCCTGTGGAGTGGAGGAGGGGGTCTGAGAGCCTGAGAGATGGAGACAGATACAGCCTGAGGCAGGATGGGGCTGTATGTGAGCTGCAGATCCGTGGCCTGACCGTGGAAGATACTGGAGAGTACTCGTGTGTGTGTGGGCAGGAGAAGACCTCAGCCATGCTGACTGTGAATGGTAATGCCGGTGTGGCCACCTGAGTGGTCTGCCTTCTCCCATCTCTCCCATGTGAGCTGTGTTCCTCCTTCGCCTCTCAATGTCATCATGTGATTCCTACAATCACATGTCTGTGTGGTCCATCCTTCAGGGCACACCGGGTTGATCTACTCTAGAGCCATGATTTGGACCCCAGGGAGGAATAGTGTAGAGAGACCTGAGTGAGGCACCAGCAAATTGCATCATCGTCTAATGGGAGATCCACCAAGGCCACTAGCATCTTGTTAGGGTCTGTGAAGATTCTGGGCCTGTGGGTCCCAGGCAGAGTTGAGATCATGTATATTCCTTAACAGGCCTGCACAACGGTGTTGGTGGTCTGGCTGGAGGTGGCCAGGTGGGCACTGCTGAACTCAATGAGAGCATTTATTGGTCCTTCAAGATAACGCACTCTCAAGGGCTGGTGCTTCTGTCTGCTTGCAGTTCTGGCGGCTGGAATTCTTCCATTGAAGTGTTGGCAGCCTTGGTTTTTCCAGAGGATGGTCATCTATCTTCTCCTTCTGTCCTCTGGTGGCCATTTCTGTGTCTCTGTCCTAATTTCTTCTTATATACACACTGACTATACAGAGCCCAACCTGATAACCTAATTTTTTTTCATTTTATTTTTTGTGTATGTGTGTATTGCCTGCATGTAGGTCAGTGCACCCGTGTCATCCCGGCTCTCCATATGCAATCCTTTTTTTTTTTCCATTTTATGTGTATGCGTGTGTTGCCTGCATGTAGGTCAGTGCACCCGTGTCATGCAATGCCCACAGAGGTCAGGAGAGGCTGTCAGATCCCCTGGGACTGGAGTTACAGACAGTTGTTAGCTGCCATGTGGGTGCTGGGATTTGAACCCGGGTCTTCTGCAAGGACAACCAGTGCTCTTAACCCCTGAGCCAGCTCTCCAGCCCCCAACTGATAACCTAAGTTTTTAAACTTAATTCTTTCCTTAAGTACTGTTCCTGGAAGGAGTCACATCCTAAGGTATTGGGGGAGTGAGGACTTCGATGCATGAGCTTGGTGAGGACACCGTTTAGCCCATGACAGCCCTTCTGGTCTCCTCAAATCCAGGTCCTTTTCATGTGTAAGATATACTTACCACATTCCCACAGCCCACATCTCCGTGTCTTTATCATTCACTCCATGGAACATTTGCCTCTTACCTGTGAGGCTGTGGAACCGGATGGAATCTGAACTTCCAGAACAATGCGGGACAGGCATAGGATGGATGTTCTTACCACAGAAGGAGGAAATTAGAGTCAGGAAGTGGGCCCCAGGCCCCAGAAGTCTGAAATATCAGGGAATTCCACTGGTTTCATGCCAGAAGAATGTCTCTACCCCCTGTCCTCTGAATTCACCGACTCACCCCTGAAGTGGAGGTGATTAGGAGCCAAGGAGAAGGGAGCGTTATTCCTTCAACCTGTGGTCTTGGGCCCCTGGTGGCAGAGTCATCCCTGTCTACCTTTGATCCACCCTCATAGTCACTCTCTGCTTTTTGGAAACAGGGCCTTGCTATACCGTCCTGGCTGGCCTGAGACTATTTGTATAGGCCAGCCTGGCCCTGAACTTGTGGAAATCCTCTTGCCTCAGCCTCCCAAGTGCTGGGATTACAGGCATGAGCCACCATGGCTAGCCACGGCCATGCTACTTGAAAGGTCACACACACGTGTGGCTAGATGGTTCTATTGCCTCATGGGGAAGGTCTCAGAAGTCTGACAGCTTTCCTCCTTTAATCTCTCTTCTTCTAGTCTAAGAAGCATTTCTGCTGGTCTAACATTCTCAAAGACCTCGTCTTCCCGTGCAGTCGTTGTCTAAGATGCTTCTTCTACAGCTTTTCATGGATGATGTCATCTCTAGCTTTGGCTTCTGCTGAGACAGCAGGACTGGCCGTACCCTGGTCTTCTCTATAGAACATATATTCTAATTCTTTTTTTTGCTGCACGGATAGGCTGTGAATTTCATGAATATCAAGTTCTTTTTCCTTAATTGCTCTTCAGTTTATCTCTATTTTCATTGTTACTATATGCAGAAAACAGAAACCCAGCTTTACCTTCCACACTTTACCTACATACTTCCTCCACCGAATGTCCAATTTCTTTTTTCCAAACTCTGCCTTCCACCAGGGACTAAAACACAATTTGGCCTGCCGGGTTTGTTGACTCTGTCACAAAGATCACTTTTCTCCTTTCCGGTACCTCATTTCCTGTCCATCTGAGGCCTGACCAGAAATGTGTCAAATCAGAAAAGTCATCTATGTAGCCACTCACTGCCCATTACCAGACATCTTCAGATTCTTAGGTGTTTGCTATTGAGCTATTTGCCTCAATTTGTGTTGTTGGGCTGCAAAGGTCAGGACACATAAAACAGAAGTTCATTTTCTATCTGTTCAGAAGGCTAGCAGCCGGCGATCAGATTCCCAACAGGGCTGACTCTGCCCGAGGCCTCTCACTGGCTCCCAGGCAACTGTCTTCCCTGAGTCTTCACACATTCCTCCAGTGTTTGCATCCTGATCTCTTTAAGGACACTAGTCCTGTTGGATTAATGTTCATCCACATGACCTCATTTAGCCCTTCCTACTTCTTCAAAGGCCTGTCTTTGAAATTCAATATACTTTCTGAAATTCAATATGCTTTTTGGAAGGACAGAGCCCACAACAATTATGACCCTGATCTGTGCTAACTTGGGAGGCTCACACTGGAGGCAGGAGGGAGGACGGCAGGACAGGTCAAAGGCTGAAAGGCATGGCCAGGAGGCCCCAGTCACAGTCTGTCAGGGATCAGGAGGCATGAGTCAGGGAGGTGGCACCCATGGGTAAAGCGTGGTTCCACAGGACAAGGATGTGATGTGGAGGACATAGGGCCTTGTGTGAACTGGGAGGGTATGCCAGGCACAGGCAGTGCTGGGTAGAGGCCCTGTGTGGATGGGCATCCCGTCTGTGAGTCTGGAGATAGCACAACTGGGAAACACATGCATGGAGGTCACTTGAGGAAGGACTGTCCTATTGGATACACTGTCTGATCTGGAGGAGCCTGGCTTGGCTCTGGGCAATGATAGGCCATGGGAAGGACAGGTGCTCTTGAGAAGATGGATCTGGAATGGTTCCCATCTCCCAGTCAACCTGCATCTCAGCTGGGACAACACGGGAAATTCAGTCAACACACATTGATCTGCCTCCCATAATCCTCAGCCTTCCTGCTGCTTCCTTCCTGGATACTCAGGTCATGACCTTCAAAACCTGCATAGAGATTGATGGCTTCTGTCCATCTGATCCTTCCTAGCCCTGTGCATACGATTCATTGAAGAGATGAAGTCTCAGGAGGCCATGGAAGGGTGCACCGTCACTTTGCAGTGTCAGCTCAGCAAAAAGGCTCCTGTGGAGTGGAAGAGAGGAGCAAAGGCCCTCAGAGATGGAGACAGATACAAGCTGTGGCAGGAAGGGGCCGTGTGTGAGCTGCAGATTCATGGCCTGGCCATGTCAGATGCTGGAGAGTACACATGTGTGTGTGGGGAGCAAGAGACCACAGCCACACTAACCATCATGGGTAAAAACCACAACTAGCCAACTAGATCCATGTGCTAGTGCCTGAGTTTGAAGGTGATGTCCGTCTACACTCATCCCATGTTCTCTCGCAGGGTCTATGAGACCCTCTTCCTGTCACTGCATGGGATCCCTTCCTGCTTCCTGGGACATGTTAACCAGGAGACACCAGCACCTGTAATGGCATTCCACTCATGCCCTTGTTGGGTTTGTCCCGTTGGATCCTGTGTCTCTTGTCCCCATTGTTACGTCCTGTCTCCCAAAGCCCTCTAGGAAATCTGAGGTTCTCTGTGTGTTCACGATACTCTCTGGCCCTGTATGCCAGGTTCATGTAAAGCACACAGTCCAAGGAGGTCACAGAATGCGCCTCGGCCATGCTATGTGCAGGGTGGTCCAAGAATTGCCACACAGCCTGTTCTCAGTTGCCCACATGTGACCATTGCCCAGTTGAGATTTGTGTGTTCTCTGTGCTCTCCATGTCCATTCTTCCACTTGCTCTGATAGTGTGATCGTGCTATGTCTTTCTGTGCTCCCCAGCACTGCCCACCAAGTTCACAGAGGGTCTGAAGAATGAAGAGGCCATAGAAGGGGCCACAGTCACTCTGAGGTGCCAGTTGAGCAAGCCGGCCCCCGTGGAGTGGAGGAGGGGGTCTGAGACCCTGAGAGATGGGGATAGATACAGCCTGAGGCACGATGGGGCTGTGTGTGAGCTGCAGATCCATGGCCTGGCTGTGGAAGATACTGGAGAGTACTCGTGTGTGTGTGGGCAGGAGAGGACCTCAGCCACGCTGAACGTCAGGGGTAAAGACCATGCGTGGCCACGTGGACCTGAGTCGTGGTGTCTCTGTTGTCTCATCGCTACTTCCGTCTCCACATGTGGCCTAGCTCCTGTGGTGACCATGTGGCCATCTGTCCTGTAACTCAGTTCATCTGGATGTCTCCATCACCCTTCCTCCTGTCCAGCAGATGTTCTCATGGTCACGTCCATGTGTCTTCCCTCCCTTCACCTCCCCGGATGCTGCTTCTTCCTGTCTGTTCCCCGAGTACTGTTCATTCATGGTCCTCTGGCAGCGTGTGTGTCTCCTGTGTGTTCCTTGGTCTGTGCATAGTGTCCTTCAGAGAGTCCCCTGTCCTCAGTGACTGTTTGGCCCTTCCCAGCCCTGCCCGCCAGATTCATAGAAGACTTGAGAAGCCAAGAGGCCACGGAAGACACCACAGCCACACTGAGGTGTGAACTGAGCAAGGTGGCCCCTGTGGAGTGGAGGAGGGGGTCTGAGAGCCTGAGAGATGGAGACAGATACCGCCTGAGGCAGGATGGGGCTGTATGTGAGCTGCAGATCCGTGGCCTGACCGTGGAAGATACTGGAGAGTACTCGTGTGTGTGTGGGCGGGAGAAGACCTCGGCCACGCTGAACGTCAGGGGTAAAGATCATATGCGGCTTACGTGGACCTGCGTCTTGGTGTCTCCCTGTTGCTAAGCACTAGTTCTGTCTCTACATGTGGCCCAGATCCTGTGATGACCCTGTGGCCATGTCCTACCTCCCCTTCTTCCTGTCTGGCAGATGTTCTTGTGTTCACATCCACTCTACGGCTCTCTCTACTCCCCTTAGGCTTTTCCTCCATTGCCATCTGCACCTCCCTTCACCTGATCATGTTGTGGTCTTTTAGCAGTGCATGCTTTCTTGTGGGTTGTGCGTGTGTATTGTTCCCTACTGTCATGTACTCAGAGACTGCTTGGTCTTCCCCAGCCCTGCCCACCAGATTTATAGAAGACTTGAGAAGCCAAGAGGCCACGGAAGGTACCACAGCCACGTTGAGATGCCAGCTGAGCAAAGTGGCCTCTGTGGAGTGGAGGAAGGGAGCAGAGACCCTGAGAGATGGGGGCAGATACAGCCTGAGGCAGGATGGAGCAGCGTGTGAGCTGGAGATCTGTGGCCTGGCCGTGGCTGATGCTGGGGAGTACTCGTGTGTGTGTGGGAAGGAGAGGACCTCAGCCACGCTGAGTGTTACGGGTAAAGCTTTCCTGTGGCCACATGATGTGTGTGGACTTCTGTCCTTGCTCTGTGTCTGCCCTGTCCCACATTCTGCCTGTCCCCAGGACTGCCCCTTCCCTCTGTCTGGTAGCTGTTGCCACACCTTTCAGTATGTTGGCATCTTTACTCCCCGGACCCTGATTCCTGCTACTGTGGTCGTCATGGAGAAGAATTCCCCACCGCTGTGCTCCCACTTTTTGTCACCTCCGTTTGAGTTTTTGTGTGTCATGTTCAGCCAAATATTCTCTTTTGTGGGGGTGAATTGGGTATCCAGAGAGGAGAGGTGGGCCCCCCTGTGGGCTGTGTATCCTGTCCCTGGTTCCTAGTATGGCCCAGGAGCTTCTGTATACCTTGAAGTCTCATGAACTTGGAGGACAGAACTTTGCCTGGGCCTAAAGGGTCTGGCTGTTTCCTGGGGTCTGCAAGACACACCATGCACTGGTGTGAGGGACAAGGGCCTTCCTGGGGCCTAGGAGGAGCAAAGCCATGTCCAGGGTTTGGTCTGAAGCTGTGATCTTGGAGGATAAAGCCCTTTCCTGGGTTGTGGTCTATAGGGACTGGACTTGATTCTATTCTGAATGGTGGGTCCTAGGAATGTAGCCCTATAGGGGGCTGGACTGTCTGAGTGGGAAGCCAACTTCAGAAAAGCTAGAGTCGGGTCTTCAGCCTCCCCACCAGCTTCCTAACCTTGAGGCACACATTAAACTGTGCCCCCGCCCCACACCGCCCTGCCATAGGACTTCGGGGAAGCTCAGCCCTCACCCTCTTCACCTACCCTGTGGTGCTGAGCCTGCCACCCACACCCCATCTTCTTGCAGCCCCACAGGTAGTCTTCCAAAAGCCACTACAGAACCTGCAGGTGGAAGAAGGCTCTGTGGCTAGCCTGCGGTGTGAACTCTCTGTGCCCAATGTCGCCGTGGTCTGGAGCAAGGGCGGCCTGGAGCTGCAGGCCGGTGAGCACCAGGAGCCCCAGCGTCAGGGGTGTATCGCAGAGCTCGTGCTGAGGGATGTGAGGCGTGAGGATGCGGGCGAATATAGCTGTACCTGTGGCTCCCAGACCACAAGTGCCACGCTCATGGTCACAGGTGTGTGTCCGAGGCTGATGGGCTCTGATGGTGGGGGCGGGCTGGGTGCGTGCAGTTTCCACGCTGGCCCTCACAGCTCCAGCCTCATCTCAGGTGTCCCAGAAGAACTCACTCAAATTGGGGGAGGTGGTACCTACCCTGATGTCGGCCTCTCCCACCAGTAGGTGGGCCCTTGAGGTCCCTCCCCTGAACACTTTGCTCAGGGCTCTCCCTTCTAAGGTAGGTCCCCACCTGCTGTGTCAGGTTGCCTAGGTCTTAAAGACCTCCTGGTTGTTGTGCCTTCTGTCCTTTCCTTCCACCCCTGACCCCAGTTTCCTTATAGTTCTGATGTGGCTCCTTCCCTTCCTCCTGTCTCCTACGTAGCTGTGCCCCAGGGCCCTCCCCTTTGACTAGCTGCTCCTGCACACTGCTCTCCTGCACGCTCCTCCCTTCAGGTGATCTCCCCTCCCTGGTAGCTGCCTGGGCAGGAACAGCAACCTCCCTCTCCCAGGCAGCTCCCCAGTGTGGATCCTGATCACAGATCTGTCATGGGTGGTTCTCTGACTATGACATGTAGCTTGTCCCTGCTGTGCTTTGTACCCTTAGCTGCTCAGGGAGCTGTCTCACAGTGTCCCTCGATCTTGCAGCTGCTCCTGTGCGGTTCCTCCGGGAGCTGCAGGCCCAGGAGGTGGATGAGGGGGCTACAGCACATCTGCGCTGTGAGCTGAGCAGGCAGCCTGTGAGCTTGGAGTGGCGCAAGGACTCCCTGCAGCTGTTCCCTTGCTCCAAGTATCAGATGCTGCAGGAGGGCACAGCCGCCGAGTTGCTGGTGCACGGGGTGGAGCAGGAGGACGCAGGCGAATACGTCTGTGATGCAGGTCACTCACAGAGCGTGGCCAGGCTCGCGGTCCGAGGTGAGCTGCCTGTGGCCCCTGTGTGCCCCGGCCTCCTAGTCCTTGGAGGAGCCCCAGAAGACCTCACTCAAATTGGGGGAGGTGGGACCTACCCTGATGTCGGCCTCTCCCACCAGTAGGTGGGCCCTTGAGGTCCCTCCCCTGAACACTTTGCTCAGGGCTCTCCCTTCTAAGGTAGGTCCCCACCTGCTGTGTCAGGTTGCCTGGTTGTTGTGCCTTCTGTCCTTTCCTTCCACCCCTGACCCCAGTTTCCTTATAGTTCTGATGTGGCTCCTTCCCTTCCTCCTGTCTCCTACGTAGCTGTGCCCCAGGGCCCTCCCCTTTGACTAGCTGCTCCTGCACACTGCTCTCCTGCACGCTCCTCCCTTCAGGTGATCTCCCCTCCCTGGTAGCTGCCTGGGCAGGAACAGCAACCTCCCTCTCCCAGGCAGCTCCCCAGTGTGGATCCTGATCACAGATCTGTCATGGGTGGTTCTCTGACTATGACATGTAGCTTGTCCCTGCTGTGCTTTGTACCCTTAGCTGCTCAGGGAGCTGTCTCACAGTGTCCCTCGATCTTGCAGCTGCTCCTGTGCGGTTCCTCCGGGAGCTGCAGGCCCAGGAGGTGGATGAGGGGGCTACAGCACATCTGCGCTGTGAGCTGAGCAGGCAGCCTGTGAGCTTGGAGTGGCGCAAGGACTCCCTGCAGCTGTTCCCTTGCTCCAAGTATCAGATGCTGCAGGAGGGCACAGCCGCCGAGTTGCTGGTGCACGGGGTGGAGCAGGAGGACGCAGGCGAATACGTCTGTGATGCAGGTCACTCACAGAGCGTGGCCAGGCTCGCGGTCCGAGGTGAGCTGCCTGTGGCCCCTGTGTGCCCCGGCCTCCTAGTCCTTGGAGGAGCGGGCGCCTTGTTCAGGAGGAGCAGGAGGGTTGGAACCTGTGACTCTTAGTATTCTTTCATGCCCCCCCAGCTCCTAAGTCCAAATTCAAGACTGGGCTGCAGAACACAGAACAGGAAGCAGGTAGTGTGGCCCGGCTGTGTTGTCAACTGAGCGAGGCCGAGCCAGGGGCCCCGGTACAGTGGCTCAAGGAGGGTGTAGAGCTGCATAAGGGTCCCAAGTACGAGATGCAATGCCAAGGAGTCATCTGTGAGCTACTGATCCATGGGCTCGAGGCCAAGGACACAGGGGAGTACGCCTGTGTGGTGGGTGGCCAGAAAACCTTGGCCTCCCTTAGAGTCAAAGGTGAGTAGCTGACCCCAGGAGGGGTGGGTTGAGCTTTCCCCACCATGCCCACTCCTTAGGGCTCTCCTGGGTGTAGCTTACAGGGCAGAGGTCCCTTGCATCACAGATCTCCCTTCTGCCTCTCCACTACCTCCTGACCTGATCCTTCAACTGAAGGGCTTTAGCAATCAGGACAAACCTCAGCTCCCGAAGGCTGCCCAGACTCTTCTCTCCTAACCAGCAGGTGCAACATCTCTGGCCTGTGTGGCTTTCTCTGACCCCTTTCCCATTTCTCCAGAAGGCCTTGCATCATGGTGACCTAGCCAGGGTAGGCCTGGCAACAGTATCAAGGCCAAACAGGACACACCATCCTGCAACTTGAGTCTCTCCCTTGGCTTATGGGGAGGCAGGTGCCCCAGCCCAGCTCCTATACCTCTGAGCTCAGCGGATGACATGCCATGTAGCAGAACATCAGAATGGCAAGGAAGGCTTTCTGGAGCGGAGGGTGTAGGAGCGAGGCTCGGGCTGATATAGACCACCCCATCCCCTCCAGAGCCTGAGGTGACCATTGTGCGGGAACTGGTTGGTGCAGAAGTGCAGGCTGATGAGGACGTGGAGTTCAGCTGTCAGGTGTCACGAGCAGGAGCCACGGATGTACAGTGGCGTCTCCAGGGCCTGCCACTGCAGAGCAATGAAGTGACAGAGGTGGCTGTTCTTGGGGACGGCCGAACCCATGTGCTCCAGCTGAAGGGTGTGACACTGGAGGATGCTGGCACTGTCTCTTTCCATGTGGGCAGCCACTCTTCTTCTGCTCAGCTCACTGTCCGAGGTAGCTGGCTCTGGTGGGCCTCCCTCACTTGGGAGAGACTGTCCAGCAGGCCTGGGCCTTTTGGGAGGACCGAGGTAGACAGCCACAATCTTTAGGGGCTGAATTTCTGGCAGGGAGGTGGACTTGTGTATTGGCAATTCCACAGCTGGTTTGTGCTGGTGGGTGGTGTGGTGGGCTTCCCAGAAGCTCATACTATTGGAGCTCAGAACCTGCCCCCAGCCCTCATGAGACCCTGCAGACTGTGGCTCACTCCCAGCTCCAGATCATCTCCAGCATCTCCGTGGGCCTCCACATAAAACTGGAGGAGGAAGTTGATAACATGCTCCCATGGGTTTGTCCTCAGGGATTGGAGTGGGGTGTCATGGAACCCCTGGGATTGGGAGCTGTACCAAGAGAGGGACTTTCCAGGTGCAAAGGCTGATGCCTGTGTCTCCTGTGTTCAGTCCCTGAGGTAACCATCCTGGAGCCCCTGCAGGATGTGCAGCTCAGCGAGGGCCAGGATGCCCACTTCCGGTGCCGACTGTCCAGGGCCTCCAGCCAGGAGGCCCGCTGGGCTTTGGGAGGGGTGCCGTTGCAGGCCAATGAGATGAACGACATCACTGTGGAGCAGGGCACACTCCACCTGCTCACTTTGCATAAGGTGGGGCTCTGGGACCTGTTTCTACCTGATGAAGAAGGTTCTTTGTCCATTAGGGAAGACCCTCTTTCAGAGGATTGGGCTGGGGAGGTGATGAACCCCATCACTGGGGGCTGGAAGGATGAATCAGCCCCTTTTTGGTCAGGATGGGGTATAAGGCCAAGCATCTTCCTCCTGCCTCCTTAGGTGACCCTCGAGGATGCTGGAACAATCACTCTCCAAGTGGGCTCATGTTCCTCAGAAGCCCAGCTGAAGGTTGCAGGTGGGCATCCCCATCCCACACCCAGTCCCTCTGCCAGTGGATGCCTGTTTCTCCCAGCTCTGTGTCTGTTAGAGGGGGTCAGAAGCCCAAGACTTCCAGCAATGATTTTTTCACTGAAGCTAGCCACTGGCCAGAAGAGGCCACTAGGATGGTTGGTAAAGATGTCTTCAAAAAATCCTGGGATGTGTGCATGGCATCTTAAGCCAGAATTGTTGCTATCTATAGGAAGAGCTGGAGAATCTGGCTGCCATGGACTTGGGCCTTGATGGGGACAGGGCCAGCCCTTGCTGTGTAGGTCCTTGTACATGCATTCACATCCATGTCGATGCACACTCTCACGTTCAAAAGGCTCAGAGGTGTATGCTTTTGACATATGTATGGATCTGGCTGTGGTATATGCAGCTGCAGCATGCAGACAGGATTTTGGGAAACTTCATTTTAGAGTGTACCTTGCCCCAAGTGTCTGGCTTTGAGCAACCTTCCTGTGCTGTTCTATTCTGGTTCTCAGCCTGGTCCCATCAACCCATCCATCACCCATTCATCTGTTTATCCATCTACCATGCATGCATGCACCTATTTACTACTGTTGTTTGTCATCCAGTCACTTCCATTATTCATCTACCTTTCATTTACCTATCACCCATCTTCTGCAGCAAGCTACCCATTTGTGTAATTATTCGTGATTTGTCCATCCACCTACCAACCATTCATCATCCATCTGTCATCTGTAAGTCCAGATTCACCATCCATCCATTCATACCTCCATCCCTTCAAGTACCAAGCTACCATACAGTCATCTATTAGCCATTGAACCAACCCTCTGAGCCCTTACCCTTCAAATCTAGAATCTCAAGATAGGTCACATGGAGCTTTGCCTTTATGGAGCCTCCAGTCGGCTGAAGGAAGCTAGACATGGGGACTATATGTGTTCGTAGTCCCATGTCCCCCTGTAACTTCAGAGGTGGCCAGACATGATTAGTTCTATGGCCCATGGTCCTGAGAAAGGCTGCCAAGTGCCAATGTTTTTAAGTGTGAAGAGTCCTAGGTAGGGGTAGGGCAGAAAGGGCCTGTGCTCACTAGGAATGGCATGGAGCTGCAGGCTGCACTTCAATCCTGCTCTAGACTAGATGTTCCCATCTTGGGTAAGCTGGCTCATGTATGGCCTCATGTGGCCTTGGGAGGGTACTAGGCATGGGTGTGAATGAGTGTCCAGGTAGGTGTGTGATGGACAGGCTTGGGAATTGGTGCTGGAGGAGGGAATGAGATATTGATAGAGTGGCAAGTGGGGCTCAGATGTGTATTTGGGGGAAAATTAGGGGCTGGTGCTGGAGTGTCAATGGGAAAAGGTATGAAGAGGCACCTGAGGAAACCCTCGGGGGTGAGTCTGAGGGCTACCCTGTCCATCTTTGGCCTGCTGGATACTGGTATCTTTACAAGTGGTTCCTGTCTCCTTTCATCCTCATCATGTGCTATAGAAGCAAATTTGATAGAAGTGCTGGGACTTTGCCAGTTTTCCCCAGGAAGGCATGTAGAAAATGCTTAGAAGTGTGGGTAGGGGTGGTATCCTTTTTGCCTCACCAGAAATAGCAAGTGTTGGAAGAGACTTTGGATCTTATTCTGGCCTGGGGAATGGGAAGTCAGCTGTGCAGATACTAATGGCTTAGAGTGCTCAGCTCTTCCATCTGCTGTGGCTCCTCCAAGTGTCTATTAAAGAGGAAGGTCAGGGTGCTAGGGGACTGTATAGAGGGCACCTGCGTCTGGGAGACCCCTGAGCTTGGAGTCTGCTGTGTAGTCGGGGAGCAGTGTACCCAGTATCAGGGCCCTGGAGTCCTAAGGCTGGCAGGACCTTGGAGGACATCTGGACAGAGTGCTCCTTAGGGATGGAAGAAGCATCTGCTTCCACACGCCCAGGGATAGAGGGGAGACACTTCCTGGGCTGAGCCCTGCTCTCTTGGAACAGCAGTCCTTGGGGTTCCCCCCTCCTGCCTACACTGGATCAGAGAAGACAACCATTGTCAGGAGGAGCCTCAACTGTGGGGCTTGTCCATTCTGCCTTCTGAGAAATATGCAGCTGGGTGTCAGTGGCCTCCTGTAGGGGAATCCAGCAGTGCTCTGAGGTGTGTGGGATGCCCCCCCCCACCAGTCCATGGCTCAGTCGCTTTTCTTGAGCTCAGTGTGATGGCCTCTGTGCTCCTCTTTGACCAGAGTGTGCTGGCTGGCTGGGATGAATTTCTGGACCCCTGACTCTAGCCATTCTGGTCTGGGTAGTACCTGATTCAAGAAGGTTCTGGGTAGTCAAGCCAGTGAATCTCTGTTCTAGCAAATTCACCTAGACTCTGTAGCACAGGACACCCGAGTAGAGCACTGGGCTCCCCACATGCCAAATAATTCTCCAGTGGATGCCCTATAATTTGATTCAATTCTTCCATATCCTAGAATTACATAGATTCATAGGTTAAAGGCTCGGTCCATGAGAGCCCCATACAGATGCCAGTTGCAGGTGTTACCCTGCTAACTGTTCCAAGTGGGTGTCGGTGGGGCTTGCGCTGCCCCCAGGTTTGATCAGTTTGCTAGGACAGCTAGGAGTCAGGAAACAGTTGCTGTCACTGGTTTATCACACAGGATACCACTTAGGAACAGCCAGACCAAAGACTATCATCAGGTAGGGTGGGGAGTGGGGAGCAGGCTTTGCCCCATACAACACCTTCGGTCTTCCTGTTCACAGCATTTAAGCCCATCAGACCTCATTTGGTTTGTTTACTTTATCTCCAGCCTTACTGCTCCCACAGAGGCTGGTGGGTAGGGCTGGGCATTTCAGCCCCCTAGACACTCGTTCTTCCTGGTGGGTCAGCTTCTTTCTGAAGCAGGAACTTCATTGCATAGCCTCTAGTGTGATCACAAGGAGCTTGGTAGTGTAAGAGCACTTCTAACATTCAGGAAGTTCTGTGCCGGGAATAAGGGCAGAGACCAGACTGGCTGTCATACAACACTCCCACACCAGTGCCTCTGAGGGTGCCCCCCCATAGACCCCAGGGAGCCCCAGCCCAGACCTCCTTCTCACCCTCTTATGCAGAGGCAGCACTAAGCCTGGTACGTGGCTTACAGAATGTGGATGTCTTCGCGGGGGAGGTAGCCACGTTCTCCTGTGAGGTGTCTCGTGCAAGTGGGCCAGAGGCCCGCTGGTGGCTGGACGGTACTCTGCTGCAGGATAGCCCTGAGAGTGCCATCACTGTGCGAGAGGGGCTTGTTCACTCCCTCACGCTCTCGGGCCTGGGGGTGGCCGACTCAGGCACCATCACCTTCCGCACAGGGCCCCTGGTCTCCACAGCCAAGTTATTGGTCAAAGGTATTGGCCAGTGGGGACCTCCCCACGCTGGCGCTTCTGCCCCTGCCGACCCCGCATGCTTCCTGCAGGGTCCTGTGGAAGAGAGGAACGTCATTTACCAGCTTCCAGGGCCACAGACTAGCCATTGTTCCAAGCCTGTTGTGCTCCCAGGGCAACCTCATGTGGACACAAAAGACAGGCTCCCAATTTATTTCTTGAGAAGTTCAGTCTTGGTGAACTGTTCAGTTGGAGACCTGCCTCCTGCACATTTGCTGTGTGGGACCTGCTCACCACCCTGCCAGCTGCACACCCTAGCCACAAAGGCTAGCCCTTTAAGGGGGACTTCCTGGGTTCCTGATGGAGAAACCCCTCTCCAGGCCCTGCATTGGCCCTGAGCACAACTGCTTCTCTCCCTGTGGGCTTCCTTCTGAAGAACCGCTGTCTGGACAGGGAGGGCAGCAGGTTTCCAGGGACTCCAACCAGCCTCTTCCCAATGTTTCATTCAATGCCTTTGCCTAAGGTCTCCTATAAATACTCATAGAACCAGGTCCAGGGTGAGTAGCAATTGGTTGGGCAGGATTTCAACAGATGGAGATGGGATGGGGCTCCAGGGCAACAGAAAGCTACCACCCCCAAAGAGGGAGAAGCTGAGCTATAGCTGCAGACTCTGCCAAGGTCTAGGGGACCAAGAGTGTTTAAGGTGGAGCCTGTGTGTTATGTCTCAAAGGACCTAACCAAGCTAGAAGAGACCAGCCTGGACAAGCAGCTCGATAGTGCTATCTGCCATGGGTGGGATGAGTTATGTCTGGTGTGGAGGGCTCTGGGTAGCCATAATGGGCCTCCTTCCTGGCCACATTCCAGGCACCAATTGCTAAGCCATTGCCCACCAAAGCTCCATGCTTGCAGCTGCTGAGGCTACTAACCCAGACAGCAGAGGGTGGGAGGGCCATGGTGGCACTGCCCCAGGGGCTGACGTATGTCCGGCGTGTTGGCCGACAGATCCCACAGTGGAGGTGGTGAGTGCCATGCAGGACCTGGTGGTGGAGGAGGGTGGCTCAGCTGAGCTCCTCTGCCAGTACTCACGGCCCGTGCAGGCCACGTGGAAGATGGACGAGCGGGAGGTGTGCGCAGATGGGCACCGTGTCATCATAGAGCAGGACTGGACCGTGGCCAGGCTGACCTTCAGGCCAGCCTTGCCCTGTGACAGCGGCATCTATTCTTGTGAGGCCGCAGGCACTCGTGTGGTGGCACTGCTTCAAGTGCAAGGTGAGGCCACCTGGTGGGCAGGCCCAGCAGGGTCATGGTGGCATAGCAGGCAGTGACCACCAGCCATACAATGCACAGTGGGTAACACCCACAGAGGTGGCAACACAAAGCTGTAGCTGGGTTAGGACACTCCCGATCATGAGCTTGCAACTTCCTTGAGTAGCTAATAGAACTGGCAAGAGAGGAGAAGAGAGGAGTGTGGATTGGGGAGGTCTCTGGCAGGTGCAAGTTTGAGGATAGAGCCCTAGGAGTCAGGACAGCTCTAGAGGTGTGGTTTAGGGGACATGAAGAAAGGGTGTGGATTGCACCCTGAGACTGTAGGCACCCACCATTGTGGGAAAGGGCACAGCTCGGAGCCTCTAGTGAGGCTTGAGTCTGGGTTTGTGAGCTCTGGTCTGTGAACACCTGTGAGGTTTCTCATCTGTGAGGCATGGGATGCCCCCTGCCCATGTGGAATCCTATGCTAATGTGAACCCACTGGAGAGGGTGACACCTCTGCCAATAGACCTTGAGTACCACCCTCTGTGAGGGTTGCTGGGGTGCTGTTTCATTTAGTTTTGGGGTTCTTGCGAGAGATGGTAGTGAGGAATCCCTGGAGGCACAGAAACCTTAGCCCTGCTCTCCCCACAGCCAAGAACACAGTGGTACGTGGCCTGGAGAACGTGGATGCGCTAGAGGGCGGCGAAGCTCTGTTCGAGTGCCAGCTCTCCCAGCCTGAAGTGGCCGCCCACACCTGGCTGCTGGATGATGAACCTGTACACACATCAGCAAATGTGGAGGTGGTCTACTTTGAGAATGGCCTGCGGCACTTGCTGCTGCTCAAAAACCTGAAGCCACAGGACAGCTGCCGTGTGACCTTCCTGGCAGGGGATGTGGTCACATCTGCTTTCCTCACTGTCAGAGGTGAAAAGCTGAGGGAGTGTGTGATGGGGTGGGCAGGGTGAGACTCTTCCACAGCAGGCTGAGGTGCAAGCAGAGGAGGTGGTGAACCAGGAAGCATAGGAGGGGGGTGTCCTCTGAGATCCTCCACCAGAGGCTGTTCAGAAAGGGAAGGATGTTGGCTTTTGAGTCCCTCCCAGCTCCCTAGCAGGAAGCTGTGCTCCTGGCTCAGTGGCATTCAGCAGTATGGAAGGACTAGGCTCTGGGATGGGAGTCATACGTGGGACAGTCATTTCCAAGATGAAGCTCTACTTATAGCTGGGAGCAGCCACTCTGTAGGAGTGTGGCAGGGCACCCAGGAACGGAGCAGTGTCTCTCAGCCCCCTCTCAACAGAGGCACTACCTGGCTGGGAGAGTTGGGAGGTATCAGACCTCGAGACTCCTCACACAGGTGACTGGACCTCCTTGGTCTACAGGGCTGTAGGGACACAGAACTGGGGAGCGGGCCAGGAAATGGGAGGCAAGAGGAAGTCTCTATGACCCCTTCCCAGTGGCACATCCAACAGCAAGTAGGGGGCAGAGATCTCTGGGAACTCTCTCACTAGACAATCTTGAAGCATTGGGGGTGGGGCTGCTATCGGTCTCCCAGAACCCCAACATGAGGCCCCACTGAGCCAGGAAAATTTAGTGAGGTGTCAGTCTGAGACATGTCTAACTCAAGGCTAGGTTGAGGGTAGACCTTGTAAGGGCCAGGAGGTCTCAAATTCCCCTTCTGGAGCCCTCCTTTCCCCTTCCACAGGCTGGCGCTTGGAGGTCCTAGAGCCTCCACAAGACATATCTGTGCGAGCTGGAGCGCAGGCCCGATTCACGTGCATGCTAAGTGAGGCAGTGCCTGTGGGTGAGGCTACTTGGTACATCAATGGGGCTGCCATCCAGCCCAACGATGTTGACTGGACAGTTACCGCTGATGGCAACCACCATGCCCTGCAGCTGAACAATGCCCAGCCCCAGCATGCTGGGGAGGTCACGTTTGCAGCCCGTGATGCTGTGGCCTCTGCACGTCTCTCTGTGCTGGGTGAGTGGTTGGTGGAGGTCCCTCCCCTGCAGGTTGGGTCTGGCACACACATAACCAGTTGCTCCCACCCCTGCTCCCACGAGACTCGGGTAGATGACTATCCAGAGCTGGATTCTGTGGTTCCATCAGACCCCGAGATTCTGAGAATGGCACCTCTGTAGCTCCCCCTGCAGGTCTGAGAGGGTGACTAATTAAAGGTACCATGCTCAGCCTTGGACACTCCCTGGTTCTTGCCCGCTCCCCCCCTCCTCTTTGCCCAGTGTAGATCCAAGCCCAGCTCTTCGGGGTTTCAAGAGGACTGAGAGTCTACAGTCCTCATGGCTTCCCTGAGTTGTGGGCACCATGATGCGCAAACACACCAGACTGTGGGGACTTCCGTAGCATCCCTTGTTCCCAAGATAAGCTGGGCCACTGGGCGCAGTGTCCTACAAGACAGGAAGGGGATTTGCTCCACGTTCTATGCTGTGCTTAGAACAGGACCCCAGTGGCTGCTGGAGGGACTGCAGGTCCCAGTAGGTATGCTGCTCCATCCCCTTCCATACAGGTCTTCCTGACCCCCCAGAAGATGCAGAGGTAGTGGGTCGCAGTGGCCGTTCCGTGACCCTGTCCTGGGTGGCTCCCACAAGCGATGGTGGTGGTGGTCTGTGTGGCTATCGGGTGGAGATGAAGGAGGCATCCACGGGCCAGTGGCAGTTGTGCCATGAACTAGTACCTGGGCCAGAGTGTGTGGTGGACGGCCTGGTCCCTGGGGAGACCTACCGTTTCCGAGTGGCAGCTGTGGGACCGGCAGGCGCTGGGGAGCCTGTGCATCTGCCCCAGATGGTCAAGCTAGGTGAGTTACCACCCTCAATCCAAGAGAGAGCTAAGCTGCCCACACTGAAGGGAGAGACTCCCAGGGGGTGGGACATGGGCCCTTGGGTCCATCCTGGTTGATGTGACCTGTCTTCTGTGGATATTGTTCCTTAGCAGAGTCAACGGAACCTGCACCTGCACCTCCCCTGGCCTCAGCCCCAGCTCCAGCCTCAGCCCCAGCCCCAGCCCCGGCCCCAGCCCCGGCCCCAGCTTCGGCCCCAGCCCCAGTCCCAGCCCCAGCCTCGGCCCCAGCCCCAGTCCCAGCCCCAGCCTCAGCCCCAGCTCTACCCCAAGCCTCAGCCCCAGCCCCAGAGAGACGGCAGGTAGTGGTTGGTGAGGACGTGTGTCTGGAATTGGAAATGGCAGCTGAAGCTGGCGAGATCATCTGGCACAAAGGGACAGAGCGCATCCAGCCCAGCGGGCACTTTGAGATCCTCTCTCAGGGTCGGCGGCAGATGCTGGTGATCAAGGGCTTCAGGATGGAAGACCAGGGGGAGTACCACTGTAGCCCTGTGCAGGGCCTGCCCTCCATGGGAGCTGCCACTTTCCAGGGTGCGTCTGGGTTCTGGGGTGGGAAGCTCTGGGCGTGAAGAAAGGCTAACCGGGTCTTTCTCCTTGCTGTGCTCTGAAGACAGGGCTGAGAGTCCTCTCCATGACTGTGTGGTATGCAGGAAGACCGAGGCTTGACCAGATGAGGCAGGTCTCACGAGACAGAACTCTAGGCCAGCCCCCCGTTCTTGAGCAGGATTAGCAGTGGTTCTTCTAAATCCTGGGACTTCCTCCAGGTGTTCTGAGGCCTCTCCCGAAGCCGCCCCCACTCTGAGCATGCCCTCCCCTCAGTCCGCTCTGTGCTCCAAGGCACTCCCAGAACTCACTGAGTCCCACCCCTGCACTGAGCACCCCACAGCTCCCTCTGTACTCTTAGGGCCCCTGTGCTTTGATCTTTCCATGCTCTTAGCCCTCTCCCACTCCCCTATGCCCTGAAGTTCCACCCACAATGAGGGCCTCCTGTCCCTCACCCCATGTTCTCATACCCCCCAAACCTTGTGCTGAGTCTGTCCCCTAACTCAGCCCTCCTGTCCGAGGCAGTCTGTGTTCTGGGTCCTTCCTCTACCAACTGCACTCTGAGCCACACCCCATAGTAGAATTCCCTCCATCTCCCCTCTGTGCAGCACTGAGGTCCCTGTGAATCTGGGCTCCTGTACCAGCCACAGGGCCAAGCAGGTAGAACTAAGCCTAGTTTTATTTTGTTCAGCTATTTTTTGTTCTGCTTGAGTCACTGTGTGCCCCCTGAAGGAGGTAGACTGAAGGGGAACTAACATGGGGTAGGTCTGAGGCTGGGAGCATCTCGTAACTGGTAAAGGTGCCTGGTACAAGATGGAACAGAGGTCCAGGAGACCATAGCCAGGCCACACCCCAGTCAGCAGCAGAGGCAGGAATGGGACTGTGGCTCTGTCCTTCCTAGCCCACTGACAAGTCTGATGCCCTCCTCAGTGGTCATGACCCCAGGCTCTGAGACTGAGGCCCCCACGCAGCCCAGCCTGCCCCCAGAGGCAGCTCAAGAGGGTGACCTGCACCTGCTTTGGGAGGCCCTGGCCCGAAAGCGCCGCATGAGCCGAGAGCCCACGCTAGACTCCATCAGTGAGCTACCTGAGGAAGACAGTCGTGTGCAACATCTGCGGCAGGAGGCAGAAGAGACAGTCCCTGACCTCTCTGAGGACTACTCCACTGCTGATGAGCTCGCACGTACAGGAGAGGCTGACCTCTCACACACCAGCTCTGACGATGAGTCCCGGGCTGGTACCCCTTCCCTAGTTACCTACCTCAAGAAGGCCGGGGGTCCTGGGGTCTCACCCCTGGCCAGAGAGGTGAGCCTCTAATTGGCCTGTAAGGGGAAGGCTGGGAATCTCAGACTTTCACCGTCTATCCATGCTCCCGTCCTTAATCCCTCAACATGTCCATCCATCTACCATCTCCCACCATCTACCCACATGTGCATCATTTTTCCTTCCTACCATCCATTGATCCACCCCCATTCACTCCTCCACCTCTCCTTGCATCTATCCATCTGTCAATCTATTCACTGTCCACCCACCATTCTTCCATTTGTATATCCATCCATCATCCGTCCATCCGTCCATCTGTCTGTCCTTCTGTCCATCCATCCATCCGTCCACCCGTCCATCCATCCACCCGTCCATCTGTCCATCTATCCATCCATCCATCCATCCATCCACCCGTCCATCTGCCTCTGTGTTGTCTGCAGTTTGTCCTCTCATTTGGTCATCATCTGTCACTCCTGCACCTCTCCACCTGTTTGGCCACCTGTCCACTCACCTGTCTCCATCTTCCTGGCCACTAATTTGTTATCTAAACCTGTTGTACCCATTTGCCAGTTTATCAGTTTATCTTCCGGTCTGTTTAACTGAGTCATCACTCATCCATTGTCCACCCACCCAGCACCTACTCAGCCATCCCTTCACCCACACGTTTGTCCATTGTCCATCCTCCACCGTTCATTCGTTACTCAATACTCCTTCATCTGATCACTCATTGATCTGCCTCGTTTACCTGTTCAGCTATCCATCCATCCATCCACCATCATCTATCCTCCACTGTCCGTTCAGCCACATAACCATCTGCTGGTCTATTTGTGCATGCATTCTTCACACACACACACACACACACACACACACACACACACACACACACCAGTGTGTCCTGAAGAACTGGACCCTGCCTTTCTGATGTTTGGCATAATGTTGTTGGGCCCCACCTGGGTGACTGTAAACAGTGATTTCTGGGAGTTATATTTGGTTTAGGGGAGCAGTAGGAGCCAGCAGGCACTTGAACTGTCAATGGGTAGGAGGCAGAATGGAGTACTGGTGTGAGACCAGGCCTGTGTGTTCTGCCTTGCTATGACCTCGCTCTTGTACCCACAGCTTGGGGCCCCAGAAGGCCCCTCTGTGAAGCCACAGACGCAGCAGGAGCAGCCAGCACCTGCATGCCCAGCACCCAGAGACTTGAGTGCAGACGACCTGAGTGATCCCTCCCTGGACAAGGCAGCAGTGAAAATCCAGGCGGCCTTTAAGGGCTACAAGGTTCGAAAGGAGATGAAGCAACAGGAAGGGCCGGTGTTCTCCCGCACATTCGGGGACACAGAGGCACAGGTGGGGGATGTGCTGCGGTTGGAGTGTGTGGTGGCCAGCAAGGCGGATGTGCGGGCCTGCTGGCTGAAGGACGGCATAGAGCTGACCGATGGGCGGCACTACCACATCGACCAGCTCCAGGATGGCACCTGCTCTCTGCTGGTCACTGGCCTGGGCCGCGCTGACACTGGCTGCTACACCTGCCAGGTGAGCACCAAGTTTGGTCTTGTGAGCCACAGCGCTCGTGTGGTCGTCAGCGGAACCGAGAGTGAGGCCGAGAGCTCCTCGGGAGGTGAGCTGGATGATGCGTTCCGCCGGGCGGCACGGCGCCTACACAGGCTCTTCCGCACCAAGAGCCCAGCCGAGCTCTCGGAAGAGGAGCTCTTCCTCAGCGCAGATGAAGGCACCTCGGAACCAGAGGAGCCTGCAGACTGGCAGACCTACCGGGAGGACGAGAACTTTGTGTGCATCCGTTTTGAGGCACTCTCAGAGGCCCGCCAGGCAGTCACCTGCTTCCAGAACATGTTTGCCACTATGGGCATCGGGGTGGAGATCAGCCTCGGGGAGCAGGGACCCCGGGGAGTGGAGATGCGAATTGGCAAGGTGGCCCCTGCCTCCACACCTGCAGTGCCACTGGAGCAGGCACCTGGCTTGCAGACTTCAGATGCTGGTGAGTCCCCAGGCTGCACTGGCCTAGGATGAGACCTTTGGGTATGAGGTAGGGTGGGGAGAGAGGAGGGATACGGACTGATGCAGAGCATCAGCCTAGAGCTCTGGCTTGCAGTCCTGTGGAGGTGGGAGAGTCCTGACTTTGAGGTTAAACAGCTGAATCTGAGACCTGGCTCCACCTCTCATTAGTTGTGTGTGTTGTGGAGAGCTATTTAGCCCCTCTGAGCCTCAGTTTTCACAGTTGTGAAGTGGGAATGTGAATACTTTGTGTAAGCTTTGAGATGTAACCCACATGGAACAGTGGATTCATTGTGGTCCATTCCTCATAATGTTTCCCACTTCAGCAACTCAAAGTAATTAAGGTGCCATTTCATCGTGCACTGTGTCTCTCCTGGAACATCAGTAGGTTATAATGACTCATAGGGCTGTGTCTTGAGACCTCTCCAATTTAGGCCACGTGGGCCTTTAAGGTCCTGCAGAACTGCCAGGCCCCACATCCCCTCTGCCTACCCTTTCCAGTTCTCCACCCCCCTTGCTTCTCAGCAGCTTGGGAATCCAGAGAGAATTCTTAAGGAAGGGGTAAAAGCTCAGGATGTCTAACTGTTGAGTCTGTCTAGCTGTTGAGCCTGGGAGTGCTTCTGTGCAGATCATGGATGTCACACTGCCCTCTGGTGGCAATTTGCTTGGTATGGTGGCTAGGTATGATAGGCACCCCAAGGCTGATTCTCTGCACCCCTGCCTGTCTGTGCCAGCCCCGGTGTTTCTGACGGAACTGCAGAACCAAGATGTGCAAGACAGCTACCCTGTGAGCTTCGACTGCGTGGTGACAGGCCAGCCAGTGCCCAGTGTGAAGTGGTTTAAGGATGGGAAGTTGCTGGAAGAAGATGACCACTACATGATCAATGAGGACCAGCAGGGTGGCCACCAGCTCATCATCACGGCCGTGGTACCAGCCGACATGGGTGTCTACCGATGCCTGGCAGAGAACAGGGCGGGCGTGTCCTCCACCAAGGCTGAGCTCCGTGTAGAGTGTGAGTGCTACTCTACATGGGGCATCTTTAGGGTGGGCTGCTCTGGTCTGACCACCTCCTAAGACCCCACCTTGTAATACCTTCTCCCAGATTGATGTTCTTTGTAGAAACATTTAATTCATTTACTTATTTGTGTGTGCATGTGTGTGCACATGCACACATGCCATGCCATATGTGGAGGTCAGAGAGAACTAGTGGGGGTGGGTTCTCTCCTCCTACCATGTGGGTCCTGGGGTTTGAACTCAGGTCATCAGAATTGGTGGCAAGCACCTTTACCTGCTGAGTCATCTTGTTAGTCCAAGATTAATGTTTTAACATATGAATTTGTGGGATCACAAGCATTCCATCCATAACGACACAACAGAAGGTCAGTCTGGTCCTCTTACTCTATCCTGGCTGGCTGCCCAAGTACCCAGCTGTTATATTTGATGCCAGTATCTCTTCAATTCCTTATCTTCTTGTAGGATGGAACTGGATGATTTTGCTAGTGTCATTGTAGTTTATGAAGACTCCAAATCATGTGATATTTATAATTTGTTGGGCCAAGGAGGCTTATGGTTAGTTACAGGTTAGTTATAGTTAGAGGCTTATAGTTAAAGCCTGGAAATATGGGCCAAGTCACAAGCTGGGGCAGGGCAGGCACAGGAAGCTGTTGCCCTCCTCGCTTCCGAGTGCAGGTGGCTCTGCATGATCAGAGCTTCAGGGGGCTGAGGTGATCTGGAGCAAGGCCTGTGCCTGGTTGTTCTAGAACACCCTTCCTTCCACAGTGACGAGCACAGACTATGACACTGCAGCCGATGCCACAGAGACCTCATCATACTTCAGCGCCCAGGGATACCTATCCAGGTGGGGCCCCTCAGAGGCAGAGAGCCTGATGAGTGATTTTTTTCCCGGGGCCTCTGAGGAAGTGACCACGTCCTGCTGTCTGGGGCAGGGGGTTGGAGGGTTTGGACTGCCAAGCCAAATCTTGGAGACTTCTACCAGGCCCTGACAGCTCTGTTCCTCTGCCCTTCGGTTCCTCAAATCCTGGAGGCTCCATCCACTCTGTCCCTCAGTTTGGGGAACCTCAGCACCCTCCACATCTGACATTACCCCTTCGGCCCTCCTGTCTGGGACCTCCTTACCTGTTTTATAGCTGCCCCCTTGTTTGTCCTTCCTGTCAGCCGGGAGCAAGAAGGGACCGAGTCGGATGAGGGGCAGCTTCCTCAGGTGTTGGAGGAGCTCAAAGACCTCCACGTAGCCCCTGGAACCCACCTGGCCAGATTCCAGCTCAAGGTGAAAGGTGAGGGACCAGTGGAGGAGTGGGACAGACCAAGTGCTGTCTCCCATCGCCACAGTTGGGAGGGAGACCCCAGCCAAGAGGTAGTCATGTATGTAACCACCTGAATAAGGAGACCAATACCCTGTGGTGTCTGAGGGACCTCTGCTCTGGGCCTTCTGTCTCTCATTGGGAGATGGCCCTGAGCTGATGACTCCTCTCTGTGCCCCAGGCTACCCAGCCCCCAGACTTTACTGGTTCAAGGATGGCCAGCCCCTGACTGCATCTGCCCATATCCGCATGACCGACAAGAAGACCCTGCACACCCTAGAGGTCGTCTCAGTCACCCGGGAGGACAGTGGCCAGTATGCAGCCTACATCAGCAATGCCGTGGGCGCTGCCTACTCATCTGCCCGACTGCTGGTCCAAGGTGAGTGCTCTGAGGGACCAGACAGAGCTGACCCACACACCCTACCTATCAGATCAGCACAGTACCAGGTTTGGGGCCAGGGGCTAGGGCACCTATAGGTATTATGTGTCTGACTCCCTTCATGTCTTTCAGGTCCCGGTGAACCAGAAGAGAAGCCAGTGTCAGGTGAGAGGACCCCAGATGGGCAAGAGAGGGTGGACCATGGGTGTGAGACCAGATGGGCCTATACTGGCTGCAATGGAAGTGGGGACAGAAGGGTGCTTAGCAGAGGGGCCAGTAGGCACAGGCTTCAGTGGCCCCCTGGGGTTGGTGCATGGGAGGTGGGGTTTTTGTCAGGGGGTCCCCACGGGCTGGCCATTTCCTTCCAGATGTGCATGAGCAACTGGTGCCACCCCGGATCCTGGAGCGGTTTACCCCCAAGAAAGTGAAGAAAGGCTCCAGCATTACGTTTTCAGTGAAGGTGGAAGGTGAGATGACTCCCAGGGAGGGTCCCACAGTCCCTGTTCTGGACAGGAGAGGCCTTGTGCCTATGGGAGGGTTCTGCTCTTGGTGGGGTTGGCTCTGTCCCTGGGGGAGGGTTCTGCTCCTGGTGGGAGGGTTCTGTCTGTGCCAGGGATGAACCCACTGCCCCCTCTCCCAGGATGCCCGGCCCCCTCTGTGCATTGGCTCAAGGAAGAAGCAGAGAAGGGTGTACTGTGGATCGGCCCTGACACTCCTGGCTACACCATGGCCAGCTCTGCCCAGCAGCACAGCCTGGTCCTGCTGGACATTGGCCGGCAGCACCAGGGCACCTACACATGCATTGCCACCAATGCCGCTGGCCAAGCACTCTGCTCTGCCAGCCTGCATGTCTCAGGCTGTGAGTTGAGGGTCAGGCGGGTGGGCAGGTAATATGTGCATGGAAGGGGCTGTGGTGCTGGATGCTACACAGAATCAGGGTCTTCTTGGGGCATGCTGACCTTCAGCACCAGGGGCTGAGACCCCACCCAAGCCCCCCCTCCCCTCCTGTCATTCCCCCATAGTGTCAGGATGCCTCTAGAGCAGGCTAGGCCTCATGGGTACAGAAGGGTTTGGTGTGGGACCTCACACACCAAAGAGCCCCCGAGGCCCGGCCTCCACGCTATTCTGCGTGGTGGGCCCTAGAGTCCTCTGCTGTGCTTTCTGCTCTGTAGCCTCGTGTGGCCCCCTGTGAGCTGGCATTCTGTGGGAAGGCCCATGTTCTTGTTACCATTGAGGTGATTTGGGTCAGGAGCGGAATAGTGCAGGCTCTGTACAGCCCCTGCCCAGGGCTCAGAGATGTCCTGGGTAGGTCTAGACCTGGAGTTGGAAGCCTTGGGGTCCAGCAGTTCTTGTTGGTGACTTTCTGCTCTCCTGATAGTGCCCAAGGAAGGGGAACAGGAGAGAGTAAAGGAGGCCCTCATCTCCACCTTCCTGCAAGGGTGAGTAGAAGCTGTCCCAGGGCCACCAGGGTCACCAGGGCCAGGGTCATGGAAGGGCCCAAGAACTAGGAACAAGACAGCCATGCTGCTGGTGGTAACCACCTTGTCCTTCAGGGCAGACTGGCTCTGGCTGGCCCTTTTCCTTCCCCATGCCTCAGTTTACCCAGTGGGATGAGGGTTTCCCATAATCCCTCTGGTGTGGAGCTGATGACTGCTGTTCTAGTCTGTTGCCTCCAGATTCTCTTTCTGTCAGGAGCTTCTGCCTGAGGGAGGAAGGTGGTATGTGGTGGCAACCATTCCGGGCCTCTAAGGACACCCCTCCCCCACCCACAGGACAACCCAAACGGTCTCAGCCCAGATGTCAGAATCGGCAGGTTTCCCTGACCTTGCTGGCCAGAGAAAAGGTACAGGCAGGGTGGGCACTCTGAGCCCCCCTTACCTCCTGCCAGGTGGTAGTGCTGGGGCAGGGGTCCCCATGCTCCTGTAGGATGGCCCTGAGCTTTGGTTGGAGTCAGAACTATTTCTGATCTTTGTGAATCTGGGAACCTATGGGGTTTCAAGGGCAGCCTAGCCTGGACGAGGAGTTCTTGTCCAGTAGGCTGTGGAAGCTAGCGTTTCAGGCACAGAGAGCAGAGGTGAAATGAGCCACACTCCAGGGTTCTCCGTAGCTTGATAGATGGGTCTGACTCCTATCTAGCTCTGTCCTTGGCTGTGCTGTCTGTTCTCTAGTCACCTGCATGACTTTGTCCCGCCAACCCTCATCAGCCCTTGCCCTAGAGCCCTGGTCTACTCGGCCCACCTAGCATCCCTCAGGGCCAAAAATGGGCCTGCAGTGTAGGAAGTGCCTGGTAAGCACTCAGGAGAGGGTGGCTGTTCTGAGGGTCACTTTCGTACCTCCCAGGGGAGTCCCTGGTGACTGAGGAGGCCCGCAGCCACTTGTCCCTTGCTGAAGTGGGCACAGAAGAGTTTCTGCAGAAACTTACCTCCCAGATCACCGAGATGGTGTCGGCCAAGATCACACAGGGTGAGGATCTAGTGCTTACATGACCCAGGGGATGGTAGGCCCCAGTGGCCTTGTGCAGGGGGATGGGCCTGGGGCTATCCTGCTTTCCAGATCTGGAAATTGGATAGACGGGAGGCAGTTGGGTGGCATCACAACCCTTGTGCCTACCTAGCCAAGCTTCAGGTACCTGGGGGTGACAGCGACGAGGAGTCCAAGACACCATCTGCATCTCCCCGGCATGGTCGCTCACGTCCTTCCTCCAGTGTCCAAGAGTCCTCCTCAGAGTCCGAGGATGGGGACTCCCGTGGTGAGGTAGGTAGGCTAGGATCCTTGGGGAATGGGGGTGGTGGTGACCCTCCTTGAGAGCTATAGTGATGACGGGGCAGGGGCAGGATCCAGGGAAGAGTCGGAAAGTGGGTGTACCATAGGCTGTCAGGAGATGGGCTTCAGGCTTGAGGAAGACAGCATCTACCAGGCACACTCGAGGCAGGAAGTGGTGAACTAGGAACTAGGGACCAGCTTTCTACTGTGTCCTCCTCCTCCTTCCTTTCTGCCCACTCTCCTCTTCCTCCCTCTCCTGGTCTAGTGTACATGCACACTCTTAGATCCCAGGGTGGCTGATGAACAGGTAGTGTAGGCAGCCCCAGCTGAGGGCCCTGGGGCCAGGCAGAGATGTCTTGCCGGGTACAGGCAGGGGAGTCCATCGAGGTGCTTGGTGTTTGTGTGGAGATGGAAGGACAGAATGACCTTGAGACTCCTGTCCTGCACTCTGGAGCTTGGCAGGCCTGTGGCACCTCCCTGGCTCTCCTGATTCTGACTGCCTCCTCTCGGTAGATTGTGGGGGCTGTTCAGGGAGTTTGGAGGCTTCTCTCCTCTCTTATCTCCTGGCTGCTGGGACCCTTGGCAGGCCTGGCTGGCAACCCTATTCCCCTGAACTCAGTGCCCCTCTCCTCCCAATCAGATCTTTGACATCTACGTGGTCACAGCTGATTACCTGCCCCTGGGGGCAGAGCAGGATGCCATTACACTGAGAGAAGGCCAGTATGTGGAGGTCCTAGACTCGGCCCACCCCCTGCGCTGGCTTGTACGCACCAAGCCCACCAAATCCAGCCCTTCTAGGCAGGGCTGGGTGTCACCTGCTTATTTGGACAAGAGACTCAAGGTACCAGGTTGGGAGCTGAGGGAAGTGGAGCCTCAGGTCACTGACCCAAAGGCCCCTAGCGTTGTTATCTCCATTTGGGAGATATGAGCCTGACCTCCGCAGGACCAGAGCCAGAGCTCAGACCACCTCTGACAGAATTCTGTTTCTCACTAGCTGTCACCTGAATGGGGGCCCACTGAGGCCCCTGAGTTCCCTAGGGAGGCTGTGTCTGAGGACGAGTACAGGATGAGGTTGAGGTGAGTGTCCATTAGGGCTTCCCCTGGATGGCCTGCTACTCAAAGAAACCTGCTGCTTGACCTGCTGGATCCAGCTGGGGTTCTAGCCTGCTGCTTTTGTGGGAGCCCATGTGGACTGACTCCACATTGGGGATGGGTAAAGACAGAGGAGAGCAGAGTAAGCCCCATTTCAACTTGATTCTTGCAGCTGCTCTCACATAGGCTTTGTGCTGGTGGGACCATGCTGGGTAACTTTTTCATGGAGGGTACATATGGTAGAGGAGTGGGCCCCTTTCTCTGCCACCTCACCCCTTCTCTGAAAGTTGACAGCAGGCTGCAGATGGCATGAAATGTCCAGACTTAACATATGAGGGAACAGGGGTTGTGAGGGGTAAACTGCCCTGCAGCAATGCCATTTCCAGGGTCATGCAAAAGGCAGGAGCCTATGGCCCCTGGAGCCCCTGAGTATCCCCTCATGGCTGCCCCTCCCACCAGGTCTGTCATCCAGGAGCTGCTGAGCTCAGAACAGGCCTTTGTGGGTGAGCTGCAGTTCCTGGAGGACCACCACATACAGCACCTGGACCACTCTCCCCGTGTGCCCGCAGCTGTGGCCAGCCAGAAGACAGTCATCTTCCGTAACGTGCAGGACATCGGCCATTTCCACAGCAGGTGGGAGTAAGGGGCTGTGTGCATGCATGCATGCATGTGCATGAGCACACACCCCTGGTTACAGGTCAGATGTCGTGGAGGGTGGGCAGGAGCTGAGGAGGGAGAAAACCTATATTGACTTGATTTACCTGGTGGTGTGACCCAAGGCAGACCTCCCCTTGCTGGGAACACAGGGTTGTGCTTCTGGCTTATGCAGAATAAAGCCTGTAGTATGCTTACCTCTAACTAGTGTGTGCATAGCCCATATGCTTACACACCTCCACATGTATGAACATATGTGTATATGTGTTGCCGCCATACAATGTGCTTAACAGGTGTGTACATACTTGAACACATACATACTCATATTTTCACACATGCCTATGAATACACATAACATTTCACACCTTCTACCTGTTTGTACATGTATAACATACATGTTATGCATGTATACTGCCACACAAGGCACACAAAGACACATGAGCACACCCATGTACACACCTGTACCATAAATGCATGAAAATCATGCATGTATGTGCACAATGCATTGCACATATACATACAATGTCTGAACATGTGTTTATATCTGTGCATACTTACCTATAAATACATGCACATATAACAGACCTGCATATGTGCACCCATGCATGTATGTCCACGCACATGTATACACATAATACACACATGCCTGCACTCATGCATGGGCAAGTGGGCACACAGCCATGTTCTCGCATAAATGTCTGCACACATAGCTCAGCACACTCAATGTTTAGGCCCAGAGCAGGATCTGGCATCCTCCTGGAGGATAGGCTCTATTCTGTGGAGGGAGATCCTGATGTCATCTCCTCTGTGGCAGCTTCTTGCAGGAGCTGCAGTGCTGTGACACGGATGATGATGTAGCCATGTGCTTCATCAAGAACCAAGAGGCCTTTGAGAAGTACCTTGAGTTCCTGGTGGGCCGTGTGCAAGCTGAATCAGTGGTTGTCAGCACCCCAGTCCAGGAGTTCTACAAGGTGCCCCCTGCCTGGCATGGTGTTCATTGGTTATTGGTCCCACCCTGCCTGCTCCCAGGCCTTGGTTCCTGCCTAAATGCCCTCTGATGTGTAGCCCCACTGGCCTACACTGGCAGCCCAAGTTCATCTTCCCAGACCCATACCTCTGCTTGCCCACAGCCTACCCAGGCCCTGGATTAGTGGGAAATGTAAACCGAGCACCTACAGCTCTGCACTCCTCAATAACACTTAAACTGCCCAAGCCCTATGCCACCTGTGAGATAGTAACCCAGTCATCCCCAGGGTCCAGGGGTGTGTGTCAGCACCCTTGGTACCATACTCAGGATCTCAGGGGACATAGCCACACCCTGGTGGTGCAGGGTTGTGCACCTGACATTCTTGGAGTCTGGCCTCTGGCCCAAGGAAACTCAAGTCATGGAGGGACCATGCATTCCTTCATGAAGCCTATCTTTGTGATTCCTACAGAAATACACAGAGGAGACACTGTCAGCCAAGGACCCCTCACAGCCACCCCCACCTCCACTTCAACACTATCTGGAGCAGCCAGTGGAGCGGGTGCAGAAGTACCAGGCCCTGCTGAAGGTGGGCATGCCCAGTCTCATTGTTGCAGGCTGCACCTGTTGGAGGGAGGGTCTGTCTGGTCTTAGAGCAACAGAGACCTGATGCTCGACCCCCACCTCAGGAGCTGATCCGCAACAAGGCCCGCAACAGGCAGAACTGCGCACTGCTGGAGCAAGCCTATGCCGTGGTGTCTGCCCTGCCTCAGAGAGCTGAGAACAAGCTGCATGTGTCCCTTATGGAGAACTACCCAGGCACTCTGGAGGCCCTGGGAGAGCCCATCCGCCAGGTTGGAGCCCTGAAGCATCCACTGGAGCATCCCAGTGGAGCACTGAGGAACTGTCAGGCTGTTTAGGGTGGGGGCATGTGCTTTAGTGGGGTGTTGGATACATGACTGTAGGGGCTGTATCAGTGGGAGAGCTTGGCCAACCAGAGTCCACTCATACCTCCAGGGCCACTTCATTGTATGGGAAGGAGCACCAGGTGCCCGGATGCCCTGGAAGGGCCACAACCGCCATGTCTTCCTCTTCCGAAACCACTTGGTAATCTGCAAGCCCCGGAGAGACTCTCGCACTGACACCTTCAGCTACATGTTCCGGAACATGATGAAGGTCTGTAGATTAGAGGCCACCGGGGCTCTGTGGGGCAGGTGGGGGCTTAGATGGGTGGAAGCCTGTTTGTCAGGGTCTGGGGTGGATCTGGCAGTCAGTCCCTTGGCCATTGCTGGGGTGGCCTGAGCCCGGCCCTCCAGGGTCCCACATCTTCTGAGGGTGATTGGCCTTCATCCTCTCTACTGATACTCTTTCCCCCACAGCTGAGCAACATTGACCTGAATGACCAGGTAGAGGGGGATGACCGTGCCTTCGAGGTGTGGCACGAGCGAGAAGACTCTGTGCGCAAGTACCTGCTGCAGGCACGGACAGTCATCATCAAAAACTCATGGGTGAAGGAGATCTGTGGGATCCAGCAGCGCCTGGCCCTGCCTGTGTGGCGTGAGTGTTACCTCTGTGGGTCCTGTTAGCCGAGGCAGGCTGGAGACCTGACCCTTTCACCGTAATTGCGTGGCTGGGTGCACGGAGGCTGTTGGAACCCTGAGCTTCGGGTGCCTGGGTAGCATTGTCTTGGCCCCTGCCCACTAGGCGTGAAGGATTGAGCTGCTTTCTGGGGCAGAGGGGTCTACTCTCTCCTTCATCAGCTCTGGATAGGGTATGATAACTGCAACTTCATGGGAGATTCATGGAAGTGCTGTGTTGGTCCTGACATGAGAGGCAACACTTGGGGACCTGGTGGGAAGGCCCCAGAGAGTGAGATCCGTTCAGCTCCTGCTTGGTGCCGGGTATCTTGCACTCTAGGTCTGCATCCTTGGCCAGAATGGAATCATTTTTGCCATGTGTTTTTTAAAATTATTTTTGGTATGTGTGTGGCATATGCATGTGTGTACATGTATGTGCACACATGTGTGCAACTGTGTAGGCCTGTGTGCATGCACTGAAGCCAGAGGAAGGCACCAGGTCCTGTTCTGTCACTGCCTTCCTCCTGTGAGGTAGGGTCTCTCACTAACCCTGAAGCTCCCCTTTTTGTTGAGGCTGGCTGGCCAGTGATCTGCCTGTGTCCAATGCTGGAGTTCTAGGCATAAGAGACCATGCCAGGCTTTTTATGTGGGCAATGGGGCTTTAAAGTCAGGTCTTCGTGCTTGCATAGCAAGCACTTTTACCCACTGAACCATCCTCCCAGCCCTTCATTCACCCTGATCCCCACTGTGCATCTAGCTTGCCTCACTCACCTTTGAATCTAAGTTGGGGCCCCCAAATGGTAGCAGTTGCACCTCTGGACATGGGATAGTAGCATTGGCTGGGCTGACCTGCCAGGCAATTAACATTACAGGCCTGCCATGCTACCCTCACATCATTGGGACCCCCTCTGTGTATCCTTAGGTCCCCCTGATTTTGAAGAGGAACTAGCCGATTGCACAGCCGAGCTGGGTGAGACAGTCAAGTTGGCCTGCAAAGTGACTGGCACACCTAAGCCCATCATCAGCTGGTACAAAGGTACTCCTGGGGCAAGGGTTCCCAGCCTCACTTCGAGATGCTGGCCCATGACAGGGAAGATCCTCTGTGGAGTGTGTGATCTAGCCGGTGGGGCTTGAGGCCCGAGGGGCAGGAGGGAGGTAAGCTGATGATGTAGAGTAGGGGACAGGTGATGGGTAAATAAACCTATGATATAAATCCAGATAGTGGTGTGGCTACCCATGGGAGTAACAGTGGGCAGTGATGGAAGTCAGGGTAGGCCTCTGAGGTAACAGGTCTGAAGACTTCTACATGACTGAGGTGCAGCTCTGGTCTGTAGTCCACATGGCCACACGAGCAAGCTGAGCTTCAGGGGCAGAGGGAGTTTTAGACAGCGCTGGGATTAGGGTCATGGTGTGCATGGCCTACCCAGCTGTGGTGGTCAGAGTCTCCAGACCAATCTCACCTCTGACAACAGCTACAAGTTTGAGTTCCCTAGAACCTCATTCCTGAAACAACCGTGGGTTAAGTGATTCCCAAGAACATTTGCCTTTCTGATGCCAAGTTCAGGGTTCCCTAAGAGCACCCATATTTCTGATGTCAAGGTTGAAAATCCCTCAAAGCCCTCTCATTTCTGACATCAACTGCAGGTTTGGGGTTCCTCGAGAGCCTCGTTAGTTTCAATCATCCTGCTCCGTGGACCCACTGTATGCAGCAGAGCTGCTCTACCCAGGGCTGTGAGTCACTGCAGCAGCAGGGGCCAGACTGAGATCACCTAGGGAGAGAGGAGGCCCCCTGGGTATGATCACCACCTGTGGTCTTCCAGCTGTTCCTCCCAGTGGAGTCATGTGGCCAGCACTTTGTCTCTGGGCATCAGTATATGACAGAGGATTGCCAGCCAGGAAACTCACCTAAGTTCCAGTCCAGGGTTTCAGCTGGGGCTGGGTCATATGGCCATGGTTCACCCCTCATGTGACAACCTCAGTCTAAAGTCCAGTTGATACTGGTGGCAGAGTTGATGTGGTGGCACAGGGTGTCTACCACAGATAACATGAAGTGCCTGTGTGGCCTAGAGCCTGTGCCAAGAACTTGTTAGCATAGGCAATCTGATGAGGTCCAAGGCATTGTACTGGGGCTCAGCCAGGTGCTGATCACGACTGGACCATGGGACCCAGTTGCTGGCCGTGGCTGGTTGCTGGATATATATTCCATATAGAGTCCTGGTGGGCTGGATGGATTTGTGTGTGAAAGCTCAGATCCAGGCTTGTGAGGGTCCATTTATAGAGGTGGGGAAGTTCCAGGGAGAGGCAGGTTGGGGTGCAGGCATCAGGGAAGGGGAGGAGAGGGCATGTCAGCAACTTGTTCACATAAAGTCAAGAAACGAACCCTTTCCATTTAGTGAGTGAGGCCGACTGGGCCCTGGTCATAGTGTTTGTCATGGAGTTCAAACTGGTCCATCCCAGAGTGAATGCCTCACAGACTTGTGTGTCTGGTTACCAGAGCCCCATAGGATGTACCTAGTGGCTGTGTTGGAAAGAGGACAGCTTCAAATCCCAAGCCAAGCCTCCTACTGCCAGAGACTCCAGTTGGCAGAATGACAAGTGTCAGAGACTTGAACTCAGCCCAAGATTGTGCAAAAGCCTGCTAAAGTTAGAATTCCCATTTTCTGCTGCTCTAACAAAGTACCTGAGTCTGGGTTCTTCCTAAAGTAAAGGGATTTCTTTTGGCCTCGGGACTTGGAGGTTGAAAGTCTGAAAGGATGGTATCACCTGGTGTGGTTCCTGTTGGCTGGCTGTAATACATTGTGGTAGAGGGTGCCATGGTGGGAGTGTGTGCGAGAAGGAGGGATAATCATGGTGAGACAGGAAGCAAGAGGGATCTAGGCTAGGCTTGCTCTCAGTATAACTCCTATAAGAACTCACTCCTGGGAGCTGGAGACTTGGCTAAGAGCACTGGCTGCTCTTGCAGAGGACCTGGGTTCGGTTCCCAGTACCCACATGGTGGCTAACAACCATCCACAGCTTCAGTTCCACAGGCTCTGTCTCCATCTTCTGACATCTGTGGGCATTGCTTGACATGGGTGCAGTTGCATACATGCAGGCAATACGCTCATACACATAAAATAAAAATAATTTTAAAAATTAAAAAAAAAGAACTCACTCCTTTCCCAAGCAGTGTTCCCAGTGGCCCAATTCACTTCAGCTAGGATCCACCACATGAAAGTTTCCACCACTTCAAAATCAGCACTGGAAATAAGCTTCCAGCACAGGAGCTGTAGGGGATCCACAACAGTGCTCAAAGGTGTCCTCGCCGTGGAGGACACCAGAAGGTAGACTATGCGCTACAGCCTGCAGGGCAGCCCCCGGACCGACCCCAACCTGCCTGATGGCTGGGATCAAGTAGAAGACACAGGTGTCCCCAGTACCCAAGAGTCCTGTAAAGGGTTGGGCCTCCTGTGGAGGGCAGAAGACCCAGGAGATGAAGATTGGTTATTGTGACTACCCATGAAGTTGGAGGAGCTCAACATGGGGAGCAGGACCCCGAATCTTAGGTTTCTCAGCAACCCCTGCTGGTGGAGCACAACACTCCAGCCTGGGCATTTGAGACGGATGCTTCTGACTTGCCAACCAGTGCAATACTGATTCAACAGAAACCGAATGTCAGAGGATGTTGAAGGTCAGAGTGCTGGGCCCTGTCTTAGAGATGCCTCCGAGAGCACCATGGATGTATGTGAGAGACTCTGTCTTTGAATCCAAAGGGATTTTAGCCCCATAAGCCAAGAACAGGAGAGGGGGCTATATCTGGTGTTCCCAAGATGGCCCATCAGCAGCTTCAAGTCTTGCCCATGATGTCCACACCAGCTGGAGCCACACAGGCAGAAGCTGGACTGATTCAGCTAACCCACCTCCTGCACCCAGCTCCCTGTCACATACCAAGTATGTCTCCACCTCCACGAGGCCTTGGGACTCTTTCTCCCCCTGGGTTCTGTGCTGGTCTGTCAGCCAACCTAGGAAGGGAGGAGAGGGTGGGGCTGGGCAGCGGTCACTTCCTTTGCTGCTGCCTTTCTACATGGAGCCAGTCGCATCCGGAGACATCGGCTCCAGTCTGTCCATTTTGGAGAGCCACAAACACACTGAGCATCCAGACGTAGAAACCAAAGCTTTGGCATGCAAAGGGCCACGCCCAACCTCAGATTGGGCAGGGTGGAGATGTAGCATCTGTGCCTAGTAGAGCTGTGAAGGTGGCATTCTTCTTCAAGGTTCCCGCATGCTGGGTGTACAATGGGCCTCAGTCCCTTAGAGTCAAGGGAGACACAGAGCTCTCGGGATGTGTGAAACTATATCACTTTACAAGTTAATGAGTTCTCCATGATAAAGCGTCTGTTCCTCCCCACACCTCTCCCAGGAAAGAAGCAGATCATGGCCATGATGTTTGGGTGGGTGTTCATTGAGTGGGACTTAGTGTGAGATCTTTAGTCTTCAAGTCTTTTATCACCAGGTCATGCATTGCCTTCATTACGTTTCAGAATTTATTTTCCATCTTCAAATACGTTTTACAAAGGTGATTTACAAGATGGGTGCCTGGTGTGCTTGTACACTGCTGGAGAAATGGCTCAGGGGTGCTTGCCTTTAGGACAGGCTGTGGCAGCTCTGCCCAAGTACAGCTTTCATTGAGTGGGGAGGGGAGGCACTGGCCTCTCATGGCTGAGGAATCTGGGACTTCAGTTGAGAGAAAGCAGGTATGAGAGCGTGGCAGTGGGGGACCTCCAGGCAGGCCGGGCACTGGTTTCTGAGCTGCCTGTTGGGAATGGGCTCCACTTGCTAAAAGGAAATCCTGGGTGATTGTCCAACTGCAAGGGCTAGTTGACTGAAAGACAAGGTCAGATGTGGGAGGACGAGGGGAGGACTGTTAGGGAGTGTCTCATGCAGGCTCTGTGCTTGGTGGGGAGAGGACTGGGCCAGGGCGAGTCCACAGCCAGTGAGCTGGGGCATGGTGAGCACATGAGACCCCCAGAGAGTTGTAGAATCCCGTAGAATCCCGTAGAAGCTGACGGCGCTGATGGGATGCTTTGTATGGTTCAGGCCTCTCCACTAGCCCCTGCTTCTAGAATATCTAAGTTGAAGGGAGAAAGAGACATGAGATGATGTCTGAACCAGGACTTCATGAAGAGACACTGAGAAACAGAGAGGGAGAAGCAGATGTAGAGAGAGACAGGCCACACCCAGCCTCTTGTCCCCGGGGTGTCAGCCTTCGGGACCTTAGCCTGACAGCCTGTCTCTGTTTTCCAGATGGGAAACCAGTGGAAGTGGACCCACACCACATCCTCATTGAGGACCCCGATGGCTCCTGCACCCTCATCTTGGACAACCTGACTGGCGTGGACTCTGGCCAGTACATGTGCTTTGCAGCCAGTGCTGCTGGCAATGCCAGCACTTTGGGAAAGATTCTGGTGCAAGGTGAGCTCAGAGGGCTGCCTGGTGTGATGCCAGTCCACAGTCAATGGCGTGGACCCTGCCCAGAGGACAGACTGGTGGGGCAGGAGGTGTGGAGTGAGCCTGAGGGCAGAGCAGCATGGGGTTAATAGGAAAGGCACTGTTGGAAGTGAGGCCAAAGTGCCCACCCCAGCGCTCCCTCCGCTCCATCATGGGCAGATCTGTCTTTTCTGTCCCTGTCTGCCTCTGCCCACAGTGCCCCCAAGGTTTGTGAACAAGGTCCGGGCCACACCGTTTGTGGAAGGGGAGGATGCACAGATCACCTGCACCGTGGAAGGCTCCCCATACCCTCAGATCAGGTGGGGCCTGTGACTTGAGGATGGTGGGAGTGCTGGGCAGCATGATCCCTGATTGGAGGAAGCTGTACACAACCACTGATCATGGGAAAGTGGGGTTATGGCTCCTGTTGGACAGCATGCCGTCTGTGGCTGGGAGGAGATGGCTGGACTGTGGCTTCCAGGGGGCGGCATTTGCTAAGGGTACTTAATCTTGGTGGCGGTGCTTCTGAGCACAGGTGGCTCTGTCCAGTGGCACCCTGAGTACTCTAAGGGAGCCATGAAGATGGGCCCAGCAGGGCCCTGGCTCACAGACCTTCCTGGCTGGTTCCAGGTGGTACAAGGATGGTGCCCTGCTGACCCCTGGCAGCAAGTACCGGATGCTGAGTGAGCCCTGCAGCGGTGTGCTGGTGCTGGTGGTCCGGGCGGCCAGCAAGGAGGACCTGGGACACTATGAGTGTGAGGTGAGGCGTGCAGAGGACAGCCATCGGCCTTCCTCTGGGTGTGACCCACCCACTGACTGGACAGTGTGAGTGCTCTAAGCAGACCAGAGGCCACCCCATTGCTGTTACCCTCCATTCCCAGCCACCCACCCTCTGCCCTGTGGCCTTTCCTTCAACATCAGGCTGGACCCAGTTATCTGGTGCCCTTGCTGTTGATCCCACCATTTCAAGACAATGCTTGGTGTCTGCCTTTTGTGGGGGCCTGGTGCTGACCTCAGCTGCCATTTATGGATACAAAAGCATAGTGTTGCTTGTCCAATGAGCCTGGCGTTGCACAGAAGGAGACACAGGCTTACCTATGGAGCTGTCTTCCGTCCCTGTGTCCTGTGTCCTCAGGACCAGGGTGGGGGGGGCAGTCTGAGTCCTCTGGCCTATGTCTAGCTCTTCCTGGAATGCTTGTCGAGAGCACAGCCTCCTCTGTGCTGGCTTCAAGTGCAACACTGGGGCATCTGCCATAAAACTCATGTTAGCAAAGGGACTCACGTTAGCACTGGATGGTCTTGCTGGTATGGATCCCAGTGGCCATGGAGCAATGCTTTAAAGTTGAACTTAAACAAAGTTAACTCCAGTTTCAGATTCTTACTGCTCTCATTCAAGTGCTCACAGCCCTTCCCCCACCCTGCTTCAGCAGCTACATCCTGGCCATGGGAGGTAGAGAGCAATCCCCACATTACAGACCCCTGGGAAGCCCATGACTCGGCTGGGAGTCCTTCCCCAATGTAAGACATATCCAGGATAGTGACCCAAAGCTAGGCCATTAGGGTGGCCTCATCAAGAGGGCCCAGACCCCTTGAGGAGCCCTGAATTCTCAGTGGGTCTCTGCTGTCCTTTTGGCAGTTGGTGAACCGACTGGGCTCAACGCGTGCTGGTGGAGATCTGTACATGCAGAGCCCTGCACTGAGGGCCCGGGACCAGCAGCACAGGGAGCAGCAGCTTGTGGCTACCGTGGAAGGTAGATACCGTACCCATCTGAGCTACTTCAGTGGCTCCCAGGTCTCAGACCCCTGGCTGGAACCTCCACTAGCCTAGGCAGAGCCCTATGGAGTTGATACCATCATCTCTTCCAAACAAGAGGTGCTTCCTGGAGGAGGGGGCTGACTGACATCTCAGTGTCAGGAAGGCTCAAGGCTGGACAATGGGGAGGCTGTGGAGGAGGTCAGAGAAGGAAACTACAGGGTGGTCTCTGCACTTGTGAGGGCTGGAGTAGAGCTGGAAGCTGCCCAGGGTGGTGAGGATCCCTCCGTCCTTGTTTCTGCAGGAAGGTCATACCAGAGCCTGGTCACCCTGATTGGCAGTGGTCAGAGGGGCTCTGTGCAGGTGACAGCAGGATAGGTGAGGGACCCTCACTGAGTGTAGAGGGCACAGTTGCTTGGATCAAGGGCAAGTGTCAGAATGTCCCTGCCACAGGGAAGGATTGGCCAGAGAGAGACCACAACACTGTAGTTCAGTGTCCCTGGCTTGTCCCAGAGCCACTCCTGGGGTCTGGGAAAGAACCAGGTGATAAAATAAGCCTGATTAGGGACAAAAGTGTGAAGGTGACTGTGTTACTTCTCCTGGGGAGATGTGAACAACTGTGTATGCACTCCAGAAGGGGCATCAACAGCAGCGCAAAGAAATGATTCCATCCGACTAGCTTAGCGAACCAGTGGGTTTATTGGGGTCACTTAACCGTGAGCCGAGGGTGGCTGAACCACTGAAGTCTGCCCTCTAGTGGGTGGTAACTGGTGAGAACTGCCTCCCTGGAACTCCCTGCACATTGCAAGCAGCCCTGTAGGTTGCCCTGTAACTGTTACTGCTTATATAACTTTGCGGGGGTCTTATTTCCTAAGCTTCATAAATCGTGTTTATTTTCTGTGTATGAGCCTCACTCCAGGAAGGGATGCTTCACTTCAGAGGCAGTTGTGACACAGCCCCCACCCCCTCACTCTCATATTCTTTCTGCTTGTTTTTTCTGTGATGTTCTGAGTTGGAGGGGGTGATACAGATGTCTGGCCGTTTTCTTCCATCTATGACTGAGTGTCCGCTGAAACACTCAGTTTCAGTAGCTTGATGGATTTTGAGTCTCTGCAGCATACCTGTATCTCACTGGAAAAAAACCAAAAACCTTTTCTCTATGACTGACCAAATCTGAGCATCTATGAATTTAATACTAATGTTTTAGAAAACAAATTGGCAAGCACATCACATCCACTAAACAAAACAGTAGCAGTGCCTCCCACTGGGGTCTATAACCTCCCCCAGCCACAGACTTTTGCCCTTGCTTACAGTACCACATGTGAATACCCTTCTGTGAGTAGACTTTGAATCCATCAGGAAAGCAGTTGGTTGCTCCCATGACAGCCATGCCACCATTGCACCAGCAGGCATGTCTTGCCCAGCGTATTAATACTATAGCACATGGGCTCTACAGCTAAAGCACGTTGTTGGTGACATTTCTCCCCCAACAGCCCACGTGGTTCCTGGCACTGTGAAAGCTAACCAGCAGGGACGGAGCTTCAAGTTCAGTTCTGACCTGGTTTCTCCATGTCCTACAGCCAAAGTGTCCTACAGCTTTTGTGGTTTGTGGGGCCTCAGGGGCCTCCTGGCCAACAACTTATAGAGAGGTGGTCCACCCCGGCACTGGCATTTTTAGTCAACAACCTCGTGGCTTCTAGGAGTACCTTTTCCCACTCATGAAGTGCCTGTGTTTAAACTTCTTAACTGCTGTCTTTACTGTTCTTCCAGATACTTTTACAGATCTGTAAGACTCTCAAGAGTTAGCATTATATAAAGAAAGCTTTGTACAAAGGGTTGGCAGAATCTCTGGGGGCTCACTGCCATCCATTCCAAGTATGCACCAATTGGTCTTGAGTAGCTAAGGGGATGCTTGAAAAGAGAAACATTAGGAAGGTCCAATACAGTATGAGAAGATCTCGTCACTTATATTGATTGTTTCATCAAGAGGGCAATTTTGAGTACAACAGCCTGGATGGGAGGAGCTGCCTCACCTAGCTTTCTAACTCACAGACATTTTCCATTAGCCATCTGACCACCTTATCCTGGAGTGTTGCTGCTGCCGCAGGGCCCCTGTGCTTTGCCCCATCTCTGACAGTCCCAGCAGGGCTGGCTTGTGCTGCATGCCCTGGCTCAGGCCAAGGGCTACATTCTAGGCTTCCATGTCTGCCTCTGGAGCCATAGTCCCGGTTCTGACAGGCTCCGGAGCAGTGCTACTGTAGCCTTTACCTCTCCATCAACCACACCTAGCTGCTGGAAGAACCCTGGGCTGGGTAACAGTTTTTACCCCAGTATACCTTATACCACATATCACCCACCCCTGGGAAAGTCATATTCTTTTCTTCATGAAGCCCAGGCTTTAAAACCTTCCATAAACTCACTAGCACAGCATTTGGCTTTCTGTTAATTTTTCCCTAGGAACCCTTGCTTGACATAAATCTTGCTATATCTTCCCTCAAGCGACCAGGACAGACTCTTGTCTATTTTACCCTTTTCTTGTTTGTTTACACATTTACAAAGTCAATTTACATCTGGTCAAAGTCATTTAGATCTGCCAGAACTTCTCCTACTTAATAAAAAATCACATCCATTAAAGCCCCACACCAGTCCTGAGGTCCCTATAGGATCAAACTTTCTTAACTCTCCTGTGATTATCAGCCTTATCCAGCCCAGTGAACTAGGCATCAAATATTTTCTGTCTCATGCCCAGTTCCCTCAGTAATGCCAGTTCTTTCTGTGTGGGGACCTCACCTGGCAAAAACCAAGTGTCCCTAATAGCTCAGATGAGCTAGGCCATCGGGAATTGATTTTTTCCTCATTGAGATGGTGCCAAGCCACATTATGGTAGTATCTGAACTAAGACAGCCTGATGCTTTGCATCCACTAGAAAACCAAGAGTGAGGCCTGATCCATTCTGAGAATTTGTTCCTTCAGATTTTCCCTCGGAACTTCCCTCTCCTCCCAAGGCCTTGCTCTCCATCTGTTGAAACAGTATGTCTAGCATGAAATGGGTAAGAAGGTGTGGAGCCTTGTCTTATCAGAGAAGGATTTTTTTCCTTTCTGACCCAGAACAGCACGCAGGACCACAAACAGATGTTGTAAAACTAACCAGTTTTTTACAATATAAATGAAATAACCTGTTGCTTCCAATGCTTGATATTTTCACAACATGCATACGCAAGTATCATTCTGGGTCAGGGGCAAGGAAGGGTCATGAGGGATTAAAGCTATATGTTTAAGCTACAAGAGGAGCCCGAAGCCTAGTAAAATGGTTTACATTATAAACAAATTACGATGGTGTTAAAGGATCTCAAAACATAAAATTAACTTCAGTTACAAGGTTAGGTAAAAGTCACTCTCGAAGTTCCCCCCTGGGTGTTTTATAAAGAAGCATTCCCACACCTGCATTGCCTCAGGTTAAGCAGCCTCTGTCTCAAGGAGGGGTGAGTAGTCGTAATAGCCTGTTTCATAGCACCCAGACTGATTCTGTTGGTCACCATATCCTACAGCCTCACAAGTCAGGGGACAAGGCTAATTTGTTGCTTGTTTAAAAGTCTTCCCCAATGTGAGTGGTTCAGATGTGGACTGGTCCCTGATTATCATAGTGTCCTGTGACAGGCTATTGTTAGAGCCCCATCTACATGCAAGTCGTGGATTTATTTTTCCCCTTCCTCTGTATTTAAAGACTAGATCTCAGGAGTCTTCTGTCTCTCTGCCATCTCTTCCTCCTCATGGGTTCCAAGTTTTTGGATCCCAGGAAGGACTTTTTAGCAGAGATCTAATGAGTACTCTTCCCCTCGTACCCCTTCAGCTGTAAGGAACAGCCCGAACCTCCATCTCATCCTTCCCACATTTCCTTCCAAACCAGAAACTAACAGTGATAGCGTTCGCGGTTTTTCTTCACTGTAATCCTTCCTTTCTGTGACACGTTCCTTCTGAGCAGACAGCCGAGCCTCAGTGTATCTGTAGCAAAGACCATGAAACAACCAGCACAGCCGTGGTTCCAGCACATTCTCGCTCCTTTCAGGGTTTATAATATATTCTCTAGCGTAAATGTCCAACCTTGTGACATCACAATACAACATCATCATATAAAAAGCTCACACTTGAGAGCACTGCAACCCCACCCCAAGCCCCCCAAACCTCATAATGTTTAAGTAAGTTTATGGTCTTGCACCAGGTCCCAGTTATGGCTGTCCTTGGCTGCATGCTGTCTCGGTCCATGAGTGGTTTGGACGTATTCCCGTAGTATCGTGATGGGCCTCATTTATCAAGGAGGCATGCCACTTGCCAGTTAGAGGAAGACAGCCACCCCGGGACACCCCCTCCGAGGACACGCCACGTTCAGATGGTCTGGCCTTGGCTTCTGCCTCCTATCACAGACAGCATGCAGCCAAGTCTACCACGAGAAGGCACACAGCTCCACACCATGTGGGGAAAGGTAGCCATGTGGGGATTGCCCCCTGCTCCACCCTCACAGGGCGCGGTCTCCGCTGCACAGCTCAGCACCCATCGTAGGAGCTCTGCAACCACTCCTCCACAAGTATCTTTGGTTCTATCAGTCTCTGTGCAGATACCATTTGTATTGTGTGATTTTTTCCTGGGAAGATGTGAGCAAGCGTCTATTCACTCCAGACAGGAAACCAACGAGAGACTCTAAACAGTTCTCTAACAGTGAACCAGTGAGATTATTGGAGTTACTTCCAGGGACACGGATGATGCAAAGGCAGCAGCATCACTAAAAAGCCTGCCCTAGCCTGGGTGATAACTCAGAAAAGCCATGTCCTTGAAGTTTCCTACAACTCACAGGCAGCTCAGCTGGTCAGACAGTCTTCTCCCCAGCAACTGTTACTGCTTATATAACTTGAGGGGGTATTTAAATTTGTAAGAAAGAGATACTTAACAGGGGTTCTGACAGTCATTTGCACAGGCAGCCAGGATAGGGTGGGACGCCATCTG